CTTCATTTAATGCCAATATGCCGTCTTTGAGGGCGTTTCTACCCACTTGGAACCGCCATTGTGGATCGCCATCTGATTCGATCTATCTCTTCGGTCACCCTCTATCAAGCAAGGTAATATCACCAAGTCTCTGTGGCTTCTGATAAGGAAACTGGTGAAAGAAGAGACGAGACACGTATCCAAGATGCTCGATCTCGAGCTACAGATGAAGGAAACAGACGGGACAATGTCATCCTAAACCTTTGCCCAAAACGACCCTCCCACCCTCTTCCTCTTCGCCTCCCTCGCCGAGAAAATGAACACCATCCCCAACATCAAACTACTCCCCGCAAACATCTGCGCACCCAAATACCTACCCCCCAAAGCAGACACCAACGCGCCCGCAATCGGAGGTCCCGTCAACACGCTCACGCTCACAATCGTAAACACCATGCCGATGCGCGCCCCCTGCTTCCTCGGATCGGCCGTCAGCGACGCCAGCGCGGAGGGGAAGAGCGCCTGGATGCCGCCCAGTGCGATACCGCTCAACGCAGCCCAGACGTAGAGACCCACCCGCGAGGAGGAGGAGGCGATGGGCAGCGCCGCCCAGCAGTACGCCAGCACTGCGGCGGCACCGGCGGTGGGGACGAACATTGTCAGGTTGCCGACGCGGTCTGCGAGGCTGTTGAGGACGAGGCGGCCGAGGATGCCGACGCCGTTTGCGATTATGAGGAGGTCGAGGGATGTGTCGTAGGAGGCGCCTTGGATGTCGCGGGCGTAGGCTGCGAGGAAGAAGAAGACGATGTAGGACGCCCAGAAGCACTGTCCAGTTCCAACAGAGGTTAACATTCGTTTGAAGTCAGGGGTTGAGTACTTTGGTGGCTGGACCAGGAAGAGACGAAGGATTCTTTAGGAAACCAACGTACCAAAGATGCCCCCACGGCATAGAACGTATACTCCAACTCCCTGAACGCCGCCCACTCCAGCAAGCTCCCCGTCTTGCGAGGCGGCACCCTCGGCTTCAGACAAGACAAGGCGGTAAACAGCGCAGCGGCCTGGATGAACCCGAGCGTCCTCATCGTCCAGCCGAACCCGGCACGCGGCAACATCTCCCGAATGACAACGGGAAACACCACGCCGCCCGCTCCGCTCCCGCAGGCCGTAATCCCGATGGCGAAGGCGCGCCGCTTGGCAAAGTACGTCGAGACGAGGGCGACCGCGGGACAGAAGAGGCACCCGTTGCCCAGGCCGACGCAGACCCCCTGCGCGAGCAGGAGCTGCCAGTACCGCGTGCAGGCCGAGGCCGCCAGGGTGCCCGCGACGACGAGGACGGAGCCGGCTGCCGCGACGGGGCGGAAGTAGCCCGCGTCCGTGAGGCGGCCGGTGAAGGTGCCTATGGAGAAGAGGAGGAAGATCTCGACGGAGCCGATCCAGGATATGTCCGAGGGGCTGCGGTCGAGGGTTTGGACGTAGTAGCTCTGGAAGGCGCCAAAGGAGTTGATCATGCCCCTGACATCGTTCCTTGTTAGTTATTCGGTTGAGAAAGGTTTCGGTTTCTAGGATCATACCATGTATTCATCACGACGAGAAAGGTGCCAAAGACTGTTCAATATGGGGAAGGTGAGTAAATGGAGCATTCTCAGTACAGAAACCTTTGGTCTTGATACAACTTACCACACAACCAAGCTCTTAATCCGCCATCGGGTGGCGGTCCAGGGGTTATGGTCGATCGTGAGGTGACTCTACTCGCAATACGACTTGTGACACGGTCAACTACATCAGTTGACTGGTTGGGCAAGCTGTTGTCCTCGCTCTGATGATACGTTTTATACGTGGTAGAATCCCTATGGCTGTCGGGCTCGGTCGATTCCAATTGCAGCCTACCCTTGACGCCGTGATCCTCGGGGCCACTCGCTTCGAAGTTCTTCTCGTTGCTATCAGACCCGGCGGGGCTACTGGTTGTCGTGTTGAACATTGTTCTTCGTTGAAAGCTGTCGTTCTCTGAGCCCTGGAGTTCAAAGTGCCTGTACTCGAGGCAAACGAATAATAATCACTTCTGAGAGTTTCGTCAGAAAACTCGACGGGGGATGTGGAAAACCCTCTCGGAGGGGTACACTGAGCTTCTCTTCCCAAGAACCGAGGATAATTCACCGGCAACTGACACCCGCTCCTGTGGCCCAAATTGGTCAGCAGAAACCCACGCCAACTGCGGGATTCCTTTCCCCTTTGAGCAATCTGCCTTGCATTTCGATGACAAATTTGGGTCACAGATAGCGCGATCGCTACGACATGTACTCGAGTTCTAAGAGCACCCCTCTGCCCTGAGTTCTAACACTGTGTCATCTGTATTGACTTTCGGACTGTACACGAGAATCAATAAGGTAACAGCATTTATGTTACTGTTTGTCTGATCCTTGTATTGTGTCTCTTGACTAAGAGGCATTGTCGCTTAGGAGGTAGCAGCGCCAGCGTCATTAGTCAGCACGATCGTTCATTGCACAATCTCACCACCAAATTGCCAAGTGCCCAGCCACATTCATCTTCCCTTACGTATCTCTCTATCCTGACAGGCGCTCTCAAAAATCCAGCAGTGGCTACACACATTTGGTCTCTCACCAAGAAGATCCTATACCACTCTCTCCCACAGCGTATCCGGATATACATAAAAAGCGAAGTCATGGACAACGACGAAAGCAGGGAGCCGCCGAGGAAACGTCTACGTTCAGCACAGCCAACTCGTCGCGGGAGGTCTCGTGGTGCGCGTGGTGGCTCCGCGAACCCCAATACTGCCAGAAAAGAGTCGGGTGAACTCGATCATCTACCAACAGAAGAACAAGCACTGGAGCCTGAAAGCTCAGTTGACCCGCGAGCGCTTCCTATCCCCGCTGCTCTGGAACGATACAAAGCTTGGAAAGGTAAGAAAGTTGAAATACATCCGAAGCTTGATAGTCTACCTACTAACAACGATATCGGGTAAAAAGAAGCCGGGGCACAGCACGATGAATTCTGCTTCATTTGCCGGCAGACTAAGGGTCTCACCTACTGCATCACTTGCAAGAGGTCGTATCACGAGTCCTGCAGGCCCGAAGAGAGCACTTACTCTGTCGTTGAGGGCAACAGTTGCTTCTTTTGCGAAGTGTGCGTGCACCGGAACTGGCACAAAGATCCCCCGTTTCTAATGCCGGAGATGCGGCCTTTGGCTGCTTCTTCATCATCATCGGCCCCTGTGGAGGCAGCTGAGGCAACGGGAGCTACACCCTCAACTAATGACACGGGTCGGCAAGATCTATCAAATTCGCACCAAGTTCGCCAGAATCAAGAGACAAATAGGACAACCGAGGCGTCGAAAGACACGCCCAGTACGTCCGCCAGGAGGACTCGTACCGCCAAAGCATCCCCTTCCGCTGCGAGAGAGGAAACAGCCGCAGCCGCTTCATCAAGCACCACCCGCACCGGAATCGCCCCCCTACCTCCGCAGACAACTTCAACAGCAGCAACCTCACGGGATGACCCGCCCCGTACCAGCACATCCACAGCACGGGCACCAGCCGCGCGCAAATCCCGCTACACGACCCTCCCAACAGACGTCGACGCCGCGCTTCGGCTCCTATACGCCGAGCTCGAGACAGCGCACGAGCTCCGGCACAAGGTCGGCGACGTCGAGGGCCAGGTCGCGCAGATGCAGCGGGAGCTACACCTGCGCAACAGCGAGCTCGCGCTGGCCAGGCGGGCGGCGGACGTGGGCCGCGTCTCGGCGTCGGAGATGGAGCAGCTTAGGGCGCAGGCTGCGCTGGGGGAGAAGGCTGTTGAGGAGGCGGCTGGGTTGAGGGCGGAAAATGGGAGCTTGCGCGCCGAGCTGGAGACGAGTCGGGAGAGGCTTGTTGAGAGCGAGCGGGCGCTGGAGGAGTGGAAGCGGAAGCTCTCGGCGTTGATGTCGTAGTAGGTAGGGCGGGAGGCGTGGGGGTTTCGTGTGATGCTTTCATGTGGTTGGTGTGCCTTACCGAAATTTGTAATCAAAACCTGTGTACAGATATTCAGGGGGAGGGTTTTTAAAGACCAAGGAGAGGTACGGGTATGGATGTGGGAGTGCCTCATAACTCATGATTAAGCAGACCAATCCCACCATGTTGGTCTGCTCCTGATCCGGGGTTGTGGATGGGGGACTTTGGGGACTGGTCTTGACCGTTCGTGTCGAGCGCGCCGTAGATTCCTGCATGACGAAGTCAAATCCTGGCGAGGCAAACGAGATTCGTATATTACCGGGCTCTTTGAGGAGTACTTATCTCGCACACTGTGTCGAGGGGTTTCCGGCCGAAGGCGCGGACGCCGGAACCGTCCCTGATAACAAGAACCACTTTGCTGACCAATTTCACCAGACGTGGGGAGGTGCGGGCTGTTTCTACGTCAACACCATTTGTTCCTCGTACACCCCAAAAATCATGGGGGTGAAGTTGCGCTTGCATCATAAAGTCGTATTCAATTCCACCGAGAGTCCGTTCCCGGTCCAGGTTTAGATTGAGGAGTCGTCTATTATGACCGAGCCCGCTTTGGTCTTGCGAGATTGGTCATCCCACTTTGCTACCCCGCGGTAAGCGTGATTGTGACGGCCTCTGTGTGAGACGATTCTTGGGCATGATCTGTACACGTATACGTGTTGCCGTGGTCAGAGTGAGGGGTGGAGGGATAAGAAAATCCGATTCACATAGGGTGAAGCAGGTGTACTGCATATGTTAACCGGGTCCTGCTCGGGACGTTCATCTAATCGGCGGGAGTTTTGTTGGCTGTGGTGTGTCACTGTGCCAGAGCCCATACGCCCACTCCAAGTCTGAAATTTGTCATCCGTCGTTCGACGCAGCTGGATGGTTATCGCCACCCTCTTGCTTCCTCATCTCATATAAAGAGTCTCATTAGGTCTGGTCTGATGCTTGGAGTTGGAGCATGCCCTTGAATTCCGCAGCAGTCCGAATCCAGGTTTCCAAAATTCTCAAACTTATGTATCCATACCAAACAACATCATCACCATGGCCACCCCCTCCACAGCAATCGTCCTCGTGGACCCCTACAACGAATTCCTCCACCACGAGGGCAAAATCTACCCGTCCGTAAAAGAATCCCTCGAGGCGACGGGCACAAACGATAACCTGCGCACCCTCGTCGCCGCGGCGCGCAAGCAAAAGATGCCCATCTTTTACGCCCTGCACAAGACGTGGAAGGAGGGAAACTATGCCGGGTGGACGCACCTCACGCCCTCGCACAAGGGTCTGGCGGCCGCCAAGGGCATCGCGGAGGGCAGCTGGGGCGCGGAGATCTTGGAGGGGCTTGAGCCGGATGTGGTGAGGAACGGGGACGTTGTTGCGAGCCGGCATTGGAATAATAGGTGAGGCTGTTGCGAGGGGGTATTGAGGGCCTTGGTCCAAGGCATCGAATATTGATGTGTTACAGCGGGTTTGCCAATACCGATTTGAACTATCAGTTGCGATAGAGGGGTGTTACACACCTCGTTATGGCAGGCATGATTGCCAATACCTGTCTTGAATCCACGGCGCGGGACGCGAGAGAGCTGTAAGTGGACATTGGGCGGAAGAAACAACTATTTGAGGAGAGGGTATGAACTGACAATGCGTGCTTCGATGGATGCGCAGTGGCTTCCATGTTACCCTTTTGTGAGTGCCCCAAGGCGTTGCAGTGTGTGTAAGTAGTCTTCTTTTGCTGACAAAAGGTACACAGATCCGATGCGACTGCTGGCTTCAGCACTGAGGCGAAGGATGCCGCGACGAACCTCATCTGGCCGTTGATTGTGGAGAATGTCACGACGGTTAGAGACTGGGTTCTTGAGAGTGAGTCCAAGGCCTGAGGTAGTCGCATAGACTGATTCATGGGTTGGATGTGATAAAATATGCAGTGATGAGCTAGCAAAACGACTGCAATAAGACATCATTCAAATAGGTGCCCAGTGTTCGTGCCAGTTTGGAGGTGGGAAAGGTGCAGACAGCGACAGCCAAATTGGTCAGCAACAAGATGGTGAAGGTTCGTACCTCTGATTAGGTAAGGTGATGCCTGTCTTTGACCTTCCGTCCAGTGGAGACGAGTCCAAATCCGAGCTTGCGCCGGGGTTGAAACTAATCCTCCGAACCAAATTACGATCTTTCGATATAGGTACTTCAGGTAAGTTTCCACCGCGAGGAAATCTGGTTAAGATTCGGCAACGAGGAGGTAACGCAAGACGCCTCAGCTGACGGCACTCCCTTAACATCAGATACACGTGGTGTAAAGTGTGAAGAAGGCCTACCTGAAAGTTAGGCGAAGCTGACATGCACACCCGGACAGCTTGAGCAAAACCCAAGGGCGGCCAGCTAGGTAAGGTACCTGGCGCTGAAAAAAAGTGGGCGTTTCAGCGCATGGTTAGCGCTCGATTCCCCCGCATTTTGGATTCCCTCTTCCGGCTTGGTCAGTGACGTCGTGGCCAGTCGCTAAAATCCCAGCTGAGAGAAAACTTGCCAGCGCACGTGGACTCGGATGGCGCGAGCGGCGACCGAAGAAGAGAAAAAAAAGGGCCCTGCAAATTAGGTGGTGGTGACTTTCGCGAATGCAGATGTCTCTCATTCCAGGTGGCATGCATACGGAAAAAAAAAAGTCTTTCCTACTTTCATCGTCAGATTTCGGGAGGGACAGACCAGAAAAACTTCTTCCTCCATCTTTTTTCATTGCCCCAAACCCCATCGTTGCTGGTGCGTCTTGCATGAGCGCTCACCTGGCATTTTGTTTGTAGAATTCATCTCCATCTAGTCGTTTAATCTTTCTTTGTTCTAGAATATCTCTCTTCAACTCTTATAGCTTGCATCCACCGATACCTACCCTTCTCTCCCCTTTCATTGATCCTCTCTGGTCGTCGCATTGCCCACCCCCCCCTCCGAAATCGCATCATGGCGCCCCCTACCGCACCGCTCAACCTCGACGTCGAGGCCATATCTGGCATTTGCGGGTAAGCATGACTTTTCGCAGTCCCGTTACCAAATCCATCAATTGCATTCCTCAATGGCTCACACAATGCGCATAGCTCCATCTCAATCGCCTGCTGGGTCGTCGTCTTCTCCCCCCAGATCCTCGAGAACTTCCGCCGCGGCAGCGCAGACGGTCTCTCTCTGCAGTTCATCATCGTCTGGCTCGCCGGCGATGTCTTCAACATCCTGGGCGCCGTCCTCCAGGGCGTCCTCCCTACCATGGTGAGTCACCTACACCAGAAAGAGAACCCCTTGCCCAACGTCCCTGCCCCAGCCTACCTTCGCCACTGCGTGAGAACCCCGGCTGACGCTATGACTCCTCACCCCTTAGATCATCCTCGCCATCTACTACACCATTGCCGATATGGTCCTCCTGGCCCAGTGCTTCTACTACAGGGGCTTCACCTGGAAAGACGAGGTCGTGCCCCCGGCCCCGAAGCCGCGCAACCGCACCGGCGAACCGAACGAGCGCACCGGCCTCCTCCCCAACCCCATTGTCGACCGCGAGCGCCGCGGCTCAGACTGGTCCAACCTCTCCCCCGCCGTACCCATGCGCCCCGAAAGCGGTGTCGGCGGCAGCGCCGCCCCGGCCCCTCCCCCGCGACCGTCCACCGCGCTCCAGGCCGTCGCCTGGAACACCACCGCCGTCCTCATGGTCTGCGCCGCCGGCGTCGTCGGCTGGTTCCTGAGCCGCAAGTACTCCCCGCACGCCGAGGAACCGGGCAACCACCACCAGCCCAACGACGACGACGACACCACCCTGACCTTCAACACCCTCGGCCAGGTCTTTGGCTGGCTCTGCGCCGTCTTCTACCTCGGCTCCCGCCTGCCCCAGCTCCTCCTCAACTACCGCCGCAAGTCCACCGAGGGCGTGAGCATGCTCTTCTTCCTCTTCGCGTGCCTCGGCAACCTGACGTACGTCCTGAGCATCTTCGCCTACGACCCGCGTTGCAAGCATGACGAGTGCGCGCCGGGCGAGGCGAGCGCTATCTACGGCCGTTACATGCTCGTCAACCTGAGCTGGTTGGCGGGCAGTCTGGGGACGTTGTTGCTTGATATGGGCATCTTTGCGCAGTACTTCATGTACCGGACCGACGAGTTTGCGAGTGATGACGAAGAGGAGGGTGATGATGAGAGCATTGATGAGGACCAGTGGGATCAGCGGCCGCTGCTTGCTCGCGGTGACTCTGTTTACCCGTGAGAGGGGCATTTTCTCTTTGTTGCTATTTTTGAAGAATCGCATTTGTGACTTTTTCTCTTTTTATCTAAGGCGTCTTTGATACACGGAAAAAAAGGGTTGGTGGTCATTGTTTTACTATAAAAGTGTCTATCGCATTACAGGATCAAGAATCAAGAGACTTGGGATAAAAAGGTGGTTACTTGACCGCTACGGAAAATAAAAAAGGGGAAAGGGGTAAGGGGGCAGCTCAAGAAAGATATATGTTGGCTGTTGTATCATACCTTAGAGGCAGCAGCCTTGGGAATCGCATGCGAGATCGCAACAAGGCTAGATCTACAAGTCATTCCTTTCACCTTTCACCTTTCACCTTTCACGGTGGCCTCTTCATTTTGCAAGCTGAAGACACCATTTGCTACCAACAAACACAAACGTTGGATCCATCATCCTCTATCCAACTCCTTGATTCTTCCAACCTCGGCGACGACCATCTCACAACCACCCAAGCCTCTTACACACAAACGTAGCACCCCCCACGAAGGCCGTAACCCCCGTAAACACAATCAACGTCCCGTACCCGCTCCCGTACCCAAACCCAGCCTCCCCAGCCCACGGCTTCCCCTGCACCAACACCCCGCTCAACGGTCCCGAAATCACATTCCCGACCCCGCGCCCGGCCGCCAACATGCCAAACACCATGATCGGGTCGACGCCCCTCCCGCGCTCCCTCTCGTGCTCCGTCACCGTCTTCATGATCCCCGGCCAGGCGGACGTGTACGCGCCCGCGAAGAGGCCGTACACCACGCAGAAGAGGTACAGCACCCCCAGGTTCAGCGAAAGGCCCCACAGCAAGAACGTCCCGACGGTGGCGCCGGCGCTGGCGAGGGCCAGGCACGACGGCGCGGACCAGCGGTCGACCAGGGTCCCCATCGCCACGCAGCCGACGACGGAGGCGACGTTGATGAGGAGGATGGTGAGGGCCGACGCGTAGGGGGACGCGCCGAGCGTGGATTGGGCGTAGGAGGGGAGGTAGATCCCCGGTAGGAAGAAGCCCAGGGCCTCGATTGTGTTTGCGGCCTGGTGTAGGAGGAAGGGGCGGGAGAGGAGGAAGCGCATGTTGTTGAACGGGCGCGCGTGCGTTGCGTCCGCTGACGATGTCGTCGTCGCCGTCGTCGTAGACACCGGCACGCGCGGCTTGATGAAGAAGGCCAGCGGCGCGGTGAGGGCGAAGAGTAGCCCGGACCAGAGGCGGAGGGTGGTGCGGAAACCGAGGGTGCCGAGGAGGTATTCCATTAGTAAGGGGAGCAAGACGCCGGCGAGGCCGGTGCCGGACCACATTATGCCGTAGGCGAAGCCCTTGCGGCGGACGAACCACTGGTCGATGTAGACTATGCAGGGCATGTACGTGATGCCGCCGCCGATGGCGTAGAGGATGCCCTGGGTTACGATGAGGTGGGGTACCGTGGTGGAGAAGGAGGAGGTTGCGAGGGCGATGCACATGATGAGGAGGCCTGCGATGGGGGCGTAGCGGGTTTGGCGGGGGTAGAGGCGGAGGAGGGCGGTTTGGATGGGTCCGCCTAGGTACATTATTCCCTTTGTCAAGATGTCAGTTTGGTCCGGGTTGTGGCTCCTTGCTCGAGATTTCGAGAGGAGAAAGGGAGGGTGTCAGCAAGAAGAGTGAGTGAAAGGGGGATGGGGGTTACCATGGCGCAGGTACCGATGACGGCAATGTTAGGCTGCCCAGCGAACGGCGGGCTCGTGGAGTAGTAGTTCTGAAAGACGCCAAAGGCAAAGGGGAACCCCCAGACGAGCATCTCGACGGCGAAGCAAGCGGCCAAGAAGAGCCAGGCCCGCTTTCCGCCGTCGACGGGCGGGAGGGAGGAGAACTCCTGGCTCGCGCTGTGGGCGTCGTGGAGGACACCATCGGCGGCGACGCCGTTCTCGTCGCCGCTGCTTCTTCTGCTGGTGCCGGACTCTGTTGCGGCGGTGGTGTACCGGTCGCGCGTCGTCGAGACTGCCGCTTTCGAGGATTCCGGGATCGGGACCGTGGCCCCGGTGTGCGGGGTGAGGTATTGGAGCTCCGTTTGCGAGGTAGACATGGTCGCGACTTTTTACTATACCACGTATCTCATAAAACAAGGAATTGATGCTTCCGGGTAGTCTCGTTCTCAATTCACCGGCTACAGAAACGAGAAAAGAGACGTAGTTGGCTGTTGGGAGTAAAGCTTACTACCGGCGCCTTTTAAGCTTGAAGTTGTTGATCGGCCGGGGGCGGGGCGGGGAGACTAAGGTCGTCTCGGCGGGGAATCCACTCTACGCCCTCCGATTGACTCGCTGACAAGGGATGACGGGCGGCTGGGCTAAATCTACTAATGTTGGTTCTAGAAGGCGTACGCCGATGCGCGACAGAGAATCAGGGTCTTTATTGTAGGTTTGAGCTATGAGCTGTATGCACAAATATTTGAATTGCAATGGTTGAATTGATCGTCACTGCTCGATCTGCCGTCTACTCGCAATCTCCCTGTGCTTATTGACCCGACAGCTCTTGTTCTTCGAGACAAGGGGGGTTGTCAATTTTTGCCAAATGATTACTGATCTCACTGGTTTAGGAAGTATTCTCGAGGTGCTGCCGTTAGAACGATGATACACGAGCGCTGGCCTGGGAGATCTTTTAGCCTGCAATGTCAGCGGCACCTCAGGTTCCATCTGGCGATTTGCTTCCTCCCGAGACACTCCCGTCTCCTTCGGTTTTCGGGCACACCGGCGCCGTGAGACCCGCTGACCGGCACCGGCTCCGAACCCGCCGAACGCCGGCCGTCACTTTGACATGCCCCCGTTCTGCCCGCTTGAGGCTCCGATGGTCGGGGACTCTGCAGTCAGCCTTGCGAAGCATGCCCCTCAACAAAGTCTGCCCGATCCCCTGCATATCTCGGCAAAGATATGCGTACTCTTCACCGCAGACCAAAGAGATTTATCGGCAAATCAGGCCGATGAATCCCATCTATGGAAGGAAACTGCGTACGGGGACTCCACCGCCGCAACTCCTTTTTCGTACCTGATACGGGTTTAAGGTACGGTCACACAGCCCCTAGGCTCGTCGTGGAAGGTCAAGCAGGCAGTGAACATCCAAACAAGCTGCATCTTCAGTCCAACCCTCAGACGTACTGCACGCTACGCCTCGCAACCTTCCCATTAGACTCTCCATCGAATGTGTCACCGTTTCGAATTGGGGACACAAAATCCCATCAATCCCTTTCTAGGCTTCTACTTAAATCCCAGCACATACCTCCCCTTGCCCGCGTTTTTCTCTCGGCGGCGGCAAGAATGTCCCCAAAACATCCTTCGCTACGACGCCAGAAGCAGAATGTCTCCCCTGAATCGTTTTGTTCGTCTGAGCCTCTGAAGTGACGGGTAGAACACGAAACCGCTCGAGCCGAGGCTGATTGGGCGGAAGGGGAAGAGCCTGAGGGAGGGGGGATCATGGTTCCCGCGTATATATTTCTGAGGCCCGAAAATAGTCCATGGACCCTGCAACCCTGCATTATCTAAAGTAATAGCAAACCAACCCGCACATACGGATACCACGTCAGATCGCGCTCGGGTTCGGCGCGCGGGCTATGGCAGTCGTCACTCCGTCCCGCAACTCCCCCCATCAACTGGCGAACGAGTCAGCGTTGCGCGATCCCGCGCGATCGGGTCCTCCGGGATCTTTTCATATCTAGGTATCTAGGCAAGGTGGCATGTCACCGAAGCCCGGTGTGCCAGCGCAGCAGCCTCTGGATATGAGGAAGGGAAAAAATCAAAGGAAATAAGAAGGGAAATGCGAAAGACTAGTAAGCCTTGCACTAGTTGGTGAACGGACTTGGATCCATAGCAGAAAAATAACAGTACCCGCACATCGCATTGCGTAGACTCTCAACCAAAGGACGACGACGACGACGACTTGACACCGAAAAGATCATCCCAACTCGCAGGCAACGCAAACGCGAAATGCAAGGTCAGCAAAAGAGAGTTTCCCATTTTCTTGCCTGCCTAATACCACTTCACCGTGCGACGACGCCTCAACCACTTTTCTTCCCCATTACCAACAACGCAAGCCGCATTCGGTAGCCCTTTCCCCTCCCTCCAATCCCCTTTGAAGATTATCTCGTTCCCCAAACTGAGGTCATTCCACCCCCCGTTTGGCCCCATCCCAGGATCCCCTCCCCGGGACACCCCAACACCCTTTCAACCGCAGTTGCGCAGCACAGCCAAAAGGTCAGGCGCGAGCCCTGTCTCAGCGCTGTCTGCAGGAAAGGATACCCCGAGTTCACATCACGCTGCCAGCGAACACACACTCAAACCCACGAATGAAGGCGAGAAAGAGAGAACAAGTGAAGCAGAACAGACGTATCCCGTAGATCGGTCGGCAGCTGAACCCTTCCTTCACTTGAAATGAAAAGAAAAAAAAAACCCCAAACACACCGAACGAAGGTGTACCCATCCATGAGCCCCTCTCAAGATGGAGGGACCGCCTGATCTAAGCCTCATCCATCCTCGTAACTGTCCTCGACCTCCCTCGCACTCAATGTGCCGGTTCGAGGTGACTCTTACACACCGGGTGTCGTAGGTACAGAGGGGTCCCCCCTTCCCTCGTCTACATACATCCACGCAGAAACTCAACCTGCGGGGACATAAGGTAGACAAGGCAAGGTATGTACTTGAAGAGTAGAGACTATTACTATGTGACCATGTAGAAAGAGGCTAGAAGGAGAGGGAAGAGACACCAAGGCCTGCCAGCCCACGGTCGTCAATCTGGTCCCTTCTCCCCCTCCGCCCCTGCTGCCTTTGCCCTGCACCTGAGCGCCAAGCTGTGGCCTCAACCTCCAAAGTCTGCCTTTCTTCATCATGCAGGAAGAGAGAGCCCGAAGTGAAGGGGTGGCCCCCGGACAAAACCGTGGGCCACGCACCCTCTCAAACTTCGGGTTCCCAGATAACTTTCTTCCTCGTGCCCTGTCGCTTTTTTTCTTGTTGGGTCTGTTTTCAAATAAAACGGCCAATCGCCTGTTTTACGCGTCGGCTGTGACTTGGGGTTCCAGGTGCGATTTGTTTCCGTCTCTTGCACACACCTACAAGGCAACGTCGACTCGACTTAGACACACACATAACAAGACCTTCGTTTCCTGTCACCCACGGACGAGTCAAACGAGATTTTTTTCTTTGGATAGACCTCGCGCCAGGATTTTGCAAATTCAATCGGTCGAATACGTACACACGACATTTCCGCCTTTGTAATCCTTAATCGCACACGCGCGCGCGCGCAGAAGCAATGTCGTCCCAGATCGAGTACAATCAGATGCCAAGAGAGCCTGCGCCAGCCGTGCTCTCGGAACACAAGATTAGCTCTCAGCAACCCGTATGTTCGCTCCCTCCAGCCATCTCCATACTTACCATGTCGGTTTGGTTTCCCCCTCTTCTCTGGTGATTGTCGGTGTCGCATCGATTCGAATCAGCCAGACCTCGCAAAAGGAACAAGACCTCTCCCGAAACCCGAGCTAACCGGAGACCTCGAATCCTACTAGGGCCCGAATCAGCCGATGACCATGGATCAATCTGCGAACCTGCGAGGAGGCGGCGATGGCGGAGTAAGTTGAAAAAAAGCCGACCCAATCCCTCTCCTTCTTCGATATTCCTACGCCGTCTGTGATTTTGGTAGAACTCGAGAAATCAGAAATAGAGCGCTGGAAAACGCGATTGGGATTCTTTTCCTTTTCAACCACACGCTCAAAAGCACACAATTGGCTAACGTGTTACGCTCTTCTCGGTAGGCTGTCTGCTGCGGTCTCTGCGCCGGCCTCTGTTGCTACGAATGCTGCGAGTGCTGCTGCTGCTGCTGTTAAGTCGTATCGGAACGTCACACGCCGAAGGCACTTTTGGGTGTCGTTTCCCTCGAGACACACCCGGGAGATGGTCAACGCAGTGGACGTTACTTTCTGTATAGACCGAATATCGTTTCGAGATGGAGGGTGTATCGTAGACCGACCAAGATCAAGACTACTCTCATTGGGAATCCGTGAGAGAAGGAGACTGAGGAATTTGCGAGCGGGAGTTCGATGTCAAATGGGTGGCTCGCAGCGGATGAGTGATTGACTAGGCGGTGGTTTCAGGCGCAAACATATACCAGGGCATCGAATTTCATGCCCGTGACAGTGTCACTTTTTTGTACGATTTTCAACTGTTTTTTTGAACAAATTATGAGTTTTTTTCCCTCCTTGTTTTAGATACTCTGAGCTGTCTGTCTAGTCAGTATTGTCCTGATATGGTATCTCGACAGTCTCTTATTCTTCTCCCCTCGAACTGATTCTGGGCGCCTCGTGCAACGTCGACGCTCGCGGCTCCGGCACTACATCGAGACCTCGGAGCGCCGTGCTTCAGCGCGATTCTGGGTGTTTCTCATCAACCATTCCATCTATATTTTTACAACTTGGAGCGAACATCCTTGGTAGGCCTAGGAGAAAAGAAAAAGTCAGTATACTCATTCACGGGTCATCATCAAGGCTTTTCAGTCCCCGGGAACGAAAAGAAGAAATCAACATACTCGGCAATCTTCTCCGTCTCCTTCATGATAGCGGCGCCGAGCTCGGGGGTAACCCGCGAGAACATCTCGTACGCGCGCGAGCGGACCTCGGGGTGAGCGCCGGCGAGGGCGCCAGACACGTTGCTGACAAAGTTCTTCTGCTGGCCCTCCTGGCGGCCGAGGACCTTCCAGAGGCCGAGGGCCTGCTCGTAGTCCTCGGGCTTGACGGGGCCGAAGAGGTCCGTGACGACGGCGCCGGCCCACTGCTCGTGCGGGGTGTTGACGGCCTTGACGGGCTTGTACTCGAGAGGGCGGAAGGTCGAGGAGTAGTTCTGGGAAGAGTTAGTTCGGTCATTCTCACCATGCATGTAGTACGTAGATCGGGGCTTGAGGGGTGACGTACGGGGTTCGCGCCGTAGTTGCCGTTCACAGCCATGGCGCCGTCTCTCTGGAGGGGGTTGAAGGCATTCAGGGGCTTGTTGACGGGGATCTGCTGGTAGTTCACGCCGAGACGGTGGCGGTGGGTGTCCGGGTAGGAGAAGAGGCGGGACTGCAGGACGGGGTCGGCGGTGGGCTCGACGCCGGGGACCAGGTGGGAGGGGGAGAAGGCGGCCTGCTCGATCTCGGCAAAGTAGTTCTCGGGGTTCTGGTTGAGGGTGAGCTTGCCAAACTGGCGCAGCGGCACCTCGCTCTGCGGCCAGACCTTGGTCAGGTCAAAGACGTTCCACTTGAACTTTTCGGCCTGCGCCGGGGTCAGGGTCTGCACGTAGACGGTCCAGCTGGGGTGCTCGCCGCGCTGGATGGCCTCGAAGAGATCCTGGGTGTGCCAGTCCGGGTTCTCGGACGCCATCTTGCCGGCCTCCTCGTTGGTGAAGGTCTTGTTGCCCTGGTCCGTCTTGAGATGGATCTGGACGTAGACGAAGGAGCCGTCGGGCTTGGTCCACTTGTGGGTGTGGCCCGAGTAGCCGTTCATGTGTCTGTAAGAGTAAGGGGTGCCGCGGTCGGAGAACAGGTGCATCAGCTGGTGGATGCACTCTTGGTTCTTGGTCCAGTAGTCAAACTGGGAGATTGAGTTAGTGTGCGATTTGTGATGAGTTGCTGCATCTTAACGCTTACCATCTGGTTCAAGTTAGCTCAAGTCATCTCATGAGAATTCTGGGGGTTTCAACACTTACCATTGTAGCATCCTTCAGATTAGTCTGCGGGTGACGCTTCTGGGTGTGAATGAAGGGAGGGAACTTGACAGGGTCGCGGATGAAGAAAATGGGCGTGTTGTTGTAAACCCAGTCCCAGTTTCCCTCCTCGGTGTAGAACTTGACAGAGAAACCTCTGGGATCACGAGCCGAATCGGCAGAGCCCTTCTCACCACCGACAGTCGAGAAACGGGCAAGCGCCTTAGTCTTCTTGCCGACCTGGTTGAGCATGTCGATGGAAGAGATATCGCTAATGTCATGGGTGACCTCGAACTGTAAAGCCGTGCGCGCGAACGCTGGTCAGCATATTTCTCTCAAAATTCACCAAGCTTCACGCCCGTTCCGACATAACACAACCAAAAAGAACCGTCTCACGAACCTCGCCGTAAGCACCGGCGCCCTTGGCGTGGACGACACGCTCGGGAATGCGCTCGCGATCGAAGTGGGCCAGCAGGTCAATCAGGTGGAAGTCCTGGAGCAGCAGAGGGCCCTGGGGACCGATGCGCTGCCACGCCTGGGGGTTCTCGACGGGGGCGCCATTGGAGGTGGTGTAAGTCGGCTTCTCGTTATACCGGTAGGTAGAAGGCTTCTCGTCCTCGGAACCCATCTTGTCAGCGGTTTCTCGCTTCTTGTCGATTCGGAGATGGGAGATATGTTTTGCGCTTCGGGGGAAATGGCGCGGGATGCTTGCTAATGTCGGACACCAACAAACGGCAGCGGCAGATGATAAATCTGATCAAGAAAAGAACAGATCAAAGAGGGTCTCCGGGGGGGCGATCCAATGGAGGGAAGACGAAAACATAAATAATCTAAAGCTCCATGACAGAGAGAAAAGAAATAGGACGATAACATAAGTGGGAGGGGACCCTCCTTACACCTCGGCCCCTCCCTCTCCTTCTCTCTCTCTTTCTCTCCCTCTTCCTCCTGCTTGCCCCAGTTTCCTCGGCTTCTGGAGCCCCATGAGCTCTGTCCTCCCACTCAGGGCGTTCAAGTTACGAAGCAGAAACCCCAGGACACGACGTAAGTCGCCCGGGCAAGGGTGGCTTTCCTCGATGATTTCTGAAGCTTTGGTGGGACACACGGCCAATTGGAAGGCAGACGAATGCAAGCTTGGGTTGGCCGAGGTCCACAGAGAAGCTCCATTTTGAGGTTTCCTAGCGTCCTTCAGTCACCCCTTGTTTTCTCCACCTCTCGTTGCTGAGGTGGTGCAAAGGTCCAAAACGATCAATCTTGCTGCTGCTTTTTGAGTGGTAGATCTGCTGTCTCTAGTGTTGCTCTAGAGGCAACTCCAATTCTGGACCCTTAGTTTGAGGCTCTGTTGTAACAACTACTTGGGTAGCGCAACGTTGTTGGACACCTTCAACCTTCAATAGCGTTATCGTGAACCCGACGTTCCGACACTGACCACCGCCAACTTTCTCAGGTTCAACTCGTGTTTTCCGCCGCTCGGATTGGTCCATTGTCTCTCCTGGCCCCTCCGACAACGGCGGGGGTTCCACCACCACTGCCCAGCTGGTCTCTTTTGCCGGGATACATCAGTCATGACCCAGTCTCTTGCTCTACCTCCCCAGATGTTGCGGGGGACTCTTTAGATTCCGTCAATGTCGGCATCGAGGGGGGATATCTCAGATTCCAGCCTTTCTGCGATGCGGAGAAAACTCGCTGACAAGCAAAAAGGATGGGGCCCGGCATGGGATATGCTGGGTGAAGACGGCGTCCATCAGGCCACTTACATGCACTTCAACGGCTAGGCTAGCCTTTGATCGCTTTGAGATAACACCGAGGGTTGCGCCCCTCGGAAGCTCGTTCATGCTATTTCCTACTTATTCAGACAGGTCTGCCATGCTCTTCACTCCCAAGTACCCGTAGCTGGACTTCATCTGAGCAAGCCTGCCGGAATCCGAAAGGTGTCCGGTACCCGTCGGGATTTGGATGAACGTCTAGCACCAAACTCTGAGAACTCTCAGAGCCCGGCCTCGGGGTTCGAAAGTTGCTACACCACAACACGGCTCAGTGACGCCGCTTCACCGGTCCCAGACCCGCTCTCTACTCACCTCGTGTGTGTTGCCCAAATCGGGAGAATGGAAAATTTCCCAATTCAGGAAACACGGCTGAACTGAAATGACATCATTGGTCAGGGCCAGAAAGGCAGTCCATGCCGGCGGAAGCCCATTCGCGGTGGCATTCCCCTGGTCTCCTCCAAGTGGAGCGAACACAAGAGTTGGATTTGTCGCCGAGATCGCAGGATCGAGGACTGTTGTAGGTATGTACATATGCCACGGGAAAGTCGCGTTACCAGATCTACAGAGGCTGTGGTACAGTGGTTCTGCGCCTCACCAACGGCATCCATGGCCGAGGCCCGGGTCAATCTGGTGTCTCGCGCTGTCACATGGCTTCAGCGCGCGTTCCTGGCGGCAGTGGCAGGCTGGCACGTTGGCTCGGGTAGTGAACCGTTCGCCGTCGGTAGCGTTTCCGGGGGCCGCCGCCGTGGGTTCTGCGTTTCTCAAGCGCCGAGAACGCCGAGATGCCAGACCTCGCATCTCGGCGATAGCCCGGAGGCGCCCGGCTTTCCGCATTTGAGCACTGGGAAAGGATGTTTACCATCTGCGTAACAGGCTTGCATTAATCCAGTCACTTGAATAGTTTTGGCCACAAGTTGATGAATGGGAAGCGTCGCATTGCGTGAATGGTAGCGAACAGGAGTATGGCGCTATCGGAATGAGCCGATAATAAGGACTCGGGAGGAGGCACGTTCCGGGATGTGCTCCACTCACGCGAGAAAAGGCCTCGAGGTTTTCTTCAATTCACCTCAGAGTAACACAGAGACAAGCAAAACGCAGTTCCTCTCGAGCAAGACTCGAGAGAGAATGTTGTCACTGCGGAACGTGTTCCGAAGCCGTTCCGAGCGCACTCGATGCGGTGTCAGAGTGCAAAAGGACCGTAAAAATGAGCGACAAACATCATGTCATTGGCTAGTGCTTAATTTAGCTCACAAATGACATATTCGTATGTCAAACCCCAGTATCACGTCGTTCAATGTCACCAGAAGCTACGGCTAGTTACCTAATGGGTACTGTAAATGATCTACGTCGAAGCCTCTTTACGCGTTCTCACCCGACAATGCTGTTCCCTATATCAATCTCGCCATGAATGATAACCGTCAGAAAACGGCTCTGTACGAAAAGGCTAACGAATAGTCAACGCCTCATTGGGAACTCTGCTCAGAAAAGCCAACCCTATGGGCAAGTATAGTAATAATTAATGAGAACGCGAATAAACCAACCGAACTCCATCATCCTGGAAAAGGCCTCGCTCAATCTTGGCTAGATTACACATATAGTCTTTAACAAATCGCATCTGACCATCTTTTGATGAACACTCGTTTAAACACGGTCAAGCGATTGAGAGCCTGAACAAACATCTTAACGTTCCTTCAGAACAGGAGGAGGCCCTGATGTTGTAGCAATTTCGACACAATCCACCGTCGAGACCGGAGTTTTCTCTTTGTCATGTGGAAGAAATGCACCCGAAACCAAAGCCATCAAAGCTGTGTCCCAAGCTGTGATGCCTCGTCAACAGTCTACACGCAGGACCTTGGACGACATGGCCAGCTTGAACCGGGGAACTGAGCCGGGAGCACGGCAAGCGAGGCAAACTCTCCAACTGTGTCACACCCGCACCCAAAGATCTAAATATGTCCGCCATGAGGCAAGAGATATGAGGTAAGGGAGGCATGCGCAGCTCAGGAAAGCAAACACGAGTTGTCTCTCGTGATGGAGAATCACCGTCATGAGGGGTTGGGTGACAAGGCGTAAGTTGTGAATCATCACCTGCCAGCCAACTCGGGTGATGTGATTCACTACTTGGTATACAGCGTGCCGCCTTCGAGACCGTATAAAGAGGAAGCCTCGCCAATCTTGCCGTCGGTGAGAAGCTCATAAGAACGCATCTCGATCACCCAAACTTTCACACCATCCGAAGATCCTCCTGATATTCCCAAGAACGCGCCAGACAACTTCACCAAAATGCTCCTCCCAAGCTCTACATCCCTCCTCTTCCCCTTCCTCGCCTTCACCGCAGCAGCAACCTCCCAGTCAACATCCACCCCTTCTCCATCCCAACCACCCATCGACGACGGCACAGTCTGCCCCGGGTCCACGGTCCCCTGCTGGGAAGGCTGCATGCCGCCCGACGGCGTCTGCTGCCACGGCTCCTCCAAGACCTGGTGGTGCCAAAAGGGCGATACGTGCGGCAAAAGCGAAGCCGCCGGCTGCTTCCACCCACCGAAACGAGCCTCCTCCTCTTCCTCTTCCTCCTCCTCTGCCCCTACAACAAGCGACGACTCATTCGCTACGGCCACAGAGAGCGTGACGAGACCGAGTCTGACGGCAGCGACAACGACGACGACGACGACGACCGGCACCCAGCTTCCGACGTGCGTCTTCCAGATCCCGCCCATCGTACAGAGGCAGCAACGGGAAAAGGTAACAACGACAGTGTCGGCGTGTCCCACCGAGCTGACCTCGGCCACTTCCGTCCCGGGTGCCGCTAGGGGATCCGGGCCGGCGGCGATGGGTCAGTCGTGGGCGGTTCTCACGTCGATCGGTGTCGCGGTCGGTTTTGTGATGATGCTGGTCTGAATGGGCAGAGTTTCTAGATCCAGGTTAGCTTCCAATCAAACTGGCCGTTGTGTACTTTTCGTGCTTTATGAGAGCTGTGACTTCCCATCGTCCTGGAAAAGTTCGAAAACTATGTCAGAATGATTAAAGGCTCACTCAAGAGCCCGTTTCTATCCAAATTCCGCCACCTTCCTTATGCGAGAACTCTGAGAAAGGGGTTAGCCATCACACGGGCGACCAAAGGAGGTGTCAGAACAGAAACCAGGGACGCGGTACGACGTCCCCGTGCTGGCATTAGAAGCGTGTAAACTGATAAAATGGACGAATCAACTCGAGTTTCCTTTCTCTTTCATCTCTTCCTCTGTCTTCTGTGTGTGTCTCTCTCTCCCCCGCCCCTCCCATTTGGGCCCTCTGGTCGCCTCATAAAACGTTGTATGCGCAACACGCGCGTTCACTCATCCGCATTTCGAAAAGACCCCGTTGTCCAGATATTCGTAGATGCGCGCGGCAGCAAAAACCGCAGACTAACTGTTTCCAGTATTCAGTCTACAGTCCGGCACTACCCAATGCTGAAACGCCGGTCCCGCAGTACGCCGAGGGTTGACGGGGGATCTTGCGAATGCCCTCTCTCTCTCACCAAAACAAAAAAGACGTCGACAAACACACATCGATGCGCAGCTCTACCCAACTGATGGGCCGTATTATAAATCGTGAGGGGCGTTATATATAAGTGGTTGTTTTTGAGAGGTTGATCGTGTAAGGGTCAGCGAAGCCATAGGCTCCGTATTTATGACTCCTGGTTGACGGTTTGCTAGTAGAAGAGGTCAGCATTCGTGTCCCAACTCAAAGTTTCTCCCCAAATGGATCTCAAGGAGTAGATCTGGTAGGGTATGCACGTACGACAAGCCAGTCCATGCCCTCCGTGACACCGCTGCCGTCGACCGCGGAGCAGGCCATGATGCTCCAGTTCCGATCGCGCAGCTCGCCCAGGCGCAGCGCCTCCGAAATCTCGCCCGCGCCCTTGGCGCCGGGCTGGTCCTGCTTGTTGGCAAAGACGAGGAGCGAAGCGTCCTTGAGCTCCTCCTCGTTGAGCATGGCGCCCAGCTCCTCGGCCGCAGTCTGCAGACGCTCGATATCGGTCGAGTCGACGACGAAGATGACGGCCGCCGTGTTGGCGTAGTAACACCGCCAGTAGGGGCGAATGCTGGTTTGACCACCTAGATCCTATAGTCGTGGTCGCGCATGGCTGCTGTCAGTCTCTTTCTCTCTCTTCTTCTGTCTCTCTCGCTTGCGTGTGGTGTTGCAGAGAAGGGTGCATCGGAGAATGGCGGCATACCCAAACGTTGAAATTGAGGTTTTTGTATGTGACGGACTCGACGTTGAATCCTATCGTCGGGATCGTGGTGACAACCTCACCGATCTGGAAAGTTCAGAAGAAGGTTAGTCCAAGGTACTTTACGAGATGCACACCTTAAGTGACGGCGGAGAGGGAAGTCTGCCGCAGAACTCACCTTCAGTCTGTACAAAAGTGTCGTCTTGCCAGCGTTATCCTGTAGAACACGGTGGTTTGTCAGCCTTGCGTCTCCACGTTTCGGACGCATCACGGGGGGAAAGCTGAGCGGGAGGATATGCGTACCAGTCCCAAGATCAGGATGCGAATCTCCTTCTTCGACCACACGAGGCCCGACAGCCATGACATGCTTGCGCCCATTTTGAAAGATGGGTTTGTTGATTCTCGACAGGAACTCGGTGTGGGATGAGGTGTGGTCGTGGTGTAGACTCGGAGCTTTCGTAGGGATGCAAAAGGCCGTGTGCGGGTTCGGGGGTTGAGTTGCGACTTGTGTTCTGTCACAATATACGCGGCTGGCCTCGGGACAGGATGGTCGCGGAGGTTTAAGGTAGGTAAGGTAAGGTTGGTGGTGGTAGCAAAAGGTGGCTTGTTTCCCAAGGGGCGAGCAGCAGCAGCAGCAAAAGTAGAATGACGAAAGCTGACCAAAGAAAAAGCTCCGCCCGCTTTGCTGGAATTATGTACAAACGCAGGGCCTTTACCCGTTGGTGAAGAATAGGAGAGCACGATAGGGGTGTGAGGGAAAAGGGCGACAAATGTTCCGTGGCGTTCAGGGGCAAAAAATAAGAAGTATCTAGTCTCTCCCCTTCTTCACTGTTTCCAGGAGTTTGGCTTGATTCGTCGTGGGTTTCGTTTCGTCGAGCTGTCTTTCTTGTCTTTACGAGTAGCAGACAAAGGGCCGTTGCAAAAGAATCTCGGATGGCTTGACTTCCCCCCCCTAAGGCGTACCAGTAAAGGTAAGGTAGCGGAACGGGTCCCCCCTAATTGACAGTTTTTTAAGACATGCATGGATGGGAAACCTGGGCGTCCAAACGGGTCCGCGGGCTGCCAATGCTGGGATCGTCGGCCGCTCGAGCCTATCGGTATGTCAGGGATTATCACATAAGCAGACTCTGAACTATGATGCCTGAGGCACTAGAGTCCATTGTCTTATCTAATCAGCACCTGACCGAAAAAAGAAGGAAAAAACCAAGCAGGAGCGAGCCACACAGCTGAGCCTCAAGAGGCGAGTGACCTTCTCATGCCTCCCCTCTCCCCCCACCAGGCTCCGAAAGCGTGACCGACTCCACCTTGTGCCCTGTCCACCAATCAAGGCGACTGCGGGCTCGCTAACCTAGTGCGCCTTGTGCACAAGAATTTCTCATTTCTAGTGGTGAGATCGATTCAACCCATCCCATCTGGAGAACAACTGCCACCCCAAAGGACTCGCACCAGTTTGATCAGCCAACAAGCCGTCAAAATGCCGGTACGTTGATAGATTACGCCCTTTCGCTCGTCCTCTCGTTCAAACGGCCCTCTTCGACGCGATGATGATGTTTCCCCTCGACCGAATCTACCGACATATTGCGTCCACGCGATACGACAAAATGCGTCACCTGTGGACGGGTTCACGATGGGGGAGTGAGGGGCAAACATCATCAACACAATCGAGGAAGGCGAACGAGAGGAAGACGAGGAAATCCAATACAAACAAGCAGAATGCTGACAAGATCCCCCGCGATACAGAGCCACAAGTCTTTCCGCACGAAGCAGAAGCTCGCCAAGGCGCAGAAGCAGAACCGCCCCATTCCCCAATGGATTCGCCTTCGCACCGGTAACACTATTCGGTACGATACACCCTCCCTCTGTTCCTCCCAGGAAGCCTCTCCTCTTTTTTGTCTCGATCTCGAAACGGATCAAAACGCGAAGGGAGTCTTTCACATGGCAGAAAACCCACCCCACCAAACATCACAAAACTAACATCTCCATCACAGCTACAACGCGAAGCGTCGTCACTGGCGCAAGACCCGCCTCGGCATCTAAACGCCTCGCCTCCTTCTCTCTTCAAGAAAGTCCCTTACCCTATCCTGCAGGACTTCCATATCAAAACCATGGATGCCGCCGACCGAACGACGACGCCGCGCTCGACTTGGGGGAAGCAAACCTTTCACATCAAATGGGGAGGGGTTCAACTCTGATGGACTCAAATACCCACTGGCTCGAGTCCTGAATTCGTGGGGGAAGTCTTTTTTGACAAACAGGAATGGAGGGGAAACAAAATGGATGCCCGGTTCGGCTAGACTCTACGTATTGCATGTTACGGTCATAGGGAAAGGAAATGCAAAATTTGCCTCTGAAGAGATGAGGCCCCCACGATTCACCATTCTCGTTCGCTCAGTACATGTTGTGATGCGACACCTCGAAGGACCGCGATGCATATCGAGGAGTACCTCCTCGCCCTCACCGGCAGGTACTGATTCCGAGCCTCCATTTGTGGTCTCCAATCAGGCCATCGCGATGCCTTCCCTGGTTTTGGAGAAGCCACTGGCAGCATCTCAAGCTCGAGCAGGTCTACCCTAGCACACCATAGTGACGTTGGTTCCCGAGTTATTCACGGCCATCTGACTTCCCAGTTTCCAATGACTCACTGTTGACGAATCACGAGCCCTTGTCGATGGTATGACGAGCCAAGTGAGGTTTGGTCGTCAGCCTTGCTGTGTCATGTTCGAAAGTAATTAAAGTCACCTCCGCCCGGGGCACATACAGGCAGCCGACCTCGATATCTGATTTGGTCGCAACCTCCAATGGATCTTATGGACAAACGCAACAATATCACCGACCAACAAGTCAATACTTTAGACGCGAAATCAAACTTCTTTGCCTTGCTATGAATTTGTAGCAAAATCAACTGGGACGCACGCATAACTGCTGCGCATGGGATGGATGACCTTGTGTTAAGCGCCTTTCATCAACCAAGCGTCCCGTTCCATACGGGACGTGAATTCCTGACCTGTGGAGCAACCCGCAAACTTTCCAGGGTAACCGAAAAACGAATCAATGAGCGATCGTCAAAACGCCGGAGTACGATGCATCACACATTAGGTGCGCAGAGCAATGTCCGAAGAGTAGTTTAACCCAGACTCCGGCTCTTTTCCACCAATCCATTTGTCGTGATATTTAACGGTCCTCGGCCCACTCATTCTCGCGGCGGATCTGCTCCTCCTCTTCGGGGGTGAAGTCGTTGGTAATGTTGAAGGTCTTTCGGATCTCCTCGGGCGACTTGCCCTTGATCATGTTGGCAACGGTCTTGCAGCCGACGTCGAGGAGAGGCTTGATGTCCAGGTAGTTGGAAGCCTGTCGTAATATTAGCTTAATGCAAGGACATGTGACAGTACCGGGCAACATACGAGGATGATCTCGAAGAGCATCTCCTGGTCGACCTGCATGAACTTCTGGTCCCACTCCTCGATCTCGGTGGTCTTCTTGCGAGCATCGTTCTCGTCATCGGCGGTCTGAACGGGATCGGCGCGGTGATGGTCACACCACTCGATGACCTTGCGAAGGACCGCCTCGTTGACCTGGGAGGAAATGTCAGCGCTTGTCGATCATTCGGTCGAGAGGCGAGAGGCGGCGACACATACGTTAGGAATGGGAATGGGGTTCTCCTGGCTGATGGCATCATCACCAACATCCTCGAGCATGTTCTTGATGAGCATGGAGCGCTCAGCGACAACGCGATCTAGACAAGATGCGTTAGCAAGGGTCTGGTCAAGACCGAGCTCGCGGGCGGAAGGAGGGGTCTGACGTACCAACGGGGATCGTGATGTTATCGTTGGACTGAACCCAGATCTTGGCGTCTTTCTTCTCGGCGGCCATTTTGTCTAGTAATTTGGGTAACTGCGATGTAGAATATCTTGGAGCGGTCAGCTTGGAGTTGGTAGACGGCGATGGTTGACTGGTGATGATTGATCGAAGTATTGAAGTTGTTTCTGGAGGATGGTGGGGGAAACTAGAAGTCGACCGGCGGGGAAGGAAGCAGCGGGAGCCGGGACTATATAGGCCTTACGTTTATGATTCGGAGATAGAATGAGAAGGTGAAGATTTTGTATGCGACCGGCGACAGTTGTTTGATTGGAGAGAGGCGAACAAACGAAGTAGTGAATAAGTGATCGGAGATGGCTTTTGTTGCGTCAGACGTTAGGTTGGACGGTTTTGAGGGTCGGGGCGGCCAGGCTGTTGGTTGTGGAGAAGTGGGAAGGCAGAGAGCGTCGCTACCCATAGAAGTTGAGGGAGCAGCAGGCAGAGGTGAGGGCGGCAGGTGCTTTCATTGGTTCAAGGCGGCGGGACCTGTTTGTACTCCTGGGTCTCTACATCTGTTGCCTGGAGAACTCTATATGGCTCGAGGTACCTACCCTTTGGTGCCTTTCAGAAGGCCTCAATGGAGTCGGTGGACCCGCAAAGGCACAGCACATCAATGGACATGACTTGGAAATGAACAATCTCGTCCAACCTGAAAGACAGCAAGAGAAAAGAAAGTGTCACGCAAGAAGAGCCTGAGGCAGAAGCTTCCTGGCGGTGTTGAATTCCATTACCTTGCTGAAAACAGTCTCGGTGACTCTTCGCCGAATGCAACTCACTTTTGTGCGCAAGAGCAAGGACGGAGGCACAGATGGCCCCCTTATGTAATCCTAGCCAAAGAGATGTTGTAAGCTTGAACAGATATTATCCCTTCACTCTTTCTCCCTGGCATGATGTACGAGGGATTCTCATTGCTGCTTGCAAAGACTCAAAAATGGCATCAGCAGCAAGAGTTCAGAAGTTATACCATATTATTCCTTGTTGTAGATTGTGCTGCTACCTAGGTACCTATCCTCCTCGTTGGCTCCAGGCAAATTCCGAGGTAGCCTGAAGGACTCCGATCAAGCTGATTCACTACAACCCAGGCACCTTAGGTAAGCTTCAGCCTGTGCCTCATCTTCTAGAGGGCCTAGGCACCCCTGGAGGTGATGCCCATTGACGAGTTTTAACAAAGGCATTGCTTCAAATGGGAAGTCAGATTCCCTCTAGAGAAAGGAAAAAGGGAAGCTCGATATTGCTGGACTTAAGGTAGCAACTTTCCTGTTCCCTCGGGCTTTTACCCTAACCTAGTAACTTTGCCTGTGCGTTCAAGGTACCTTGTGTAGACGAAGCTCAACATAAGATTTGGAGCCAGCCTGGATGCCGTACTTTGACGCTGGTCAAAAGAGATGAGCTTGGGAGGTAGCCTGTGATTTCCTTGGAGACAACTTAGAATAGAAGAAAATGGCGGGAAACATCCGGAGCGAGGGCGGGCCTGCTAGATCTATATGTTATCCCATGACCTCTGAGGTGATACCTGCTGAGAGGGTCTCGTGATTAAGGAAGCTAGATTCGGCCAAGCATCGTTCTTCTCTCCCGCTCTGCCACACTTAGAGAGAGGGAAATCAGTATAGTCCAAATCCCTGGCTCGCGAATTACCGAGTGATAAGTTCAAAGGTCACAGGATTCGGACTTTGGTGCAATGCGACCTGATACAGACTTCTTGCAGTAGACTGCAGTTGCTTGGCATCTCTCCGCAAGCGACAAACCAGTTTTCGGAGCCGGACAGACGATTAATGCCGGCATACCTTACTCGGACCAGAACCTCGTCGCCGCTAGCCTAAAGGCCGGCCGAGGAGACCGGCAAGGCAGAACCGGGGGCGGTGGAGACGGCCGGTAAGGTAACGCCAAGGTCTATTCCTGTGAGTGCCGTATCTGCGGGGACGAGCACTGCCTCCTCTTGCCAATGGTTGCATCGTGAATAAAATGCTTCTCAGCGGATGGCCTTAAGTCCAAAACGCTCCCGGGTCGATGCTTGCTAATGGCGTCTGGTGCCTACCTTGCTTGTGATGTTCCTTGTTTCTCTGTCTCGGTTCATGGAGTGAGCGACTAGGTTTGCCTTCACTGCTGGGTGACCAGAATGGCATCAACTGAAGGTAGACGAAAAATGTCGTGGATAAGCTCTCGTACCAAGCTCTCGTACCGAAGGAAATGTCCGACAAGAATCTGGAGCTGGCCAGGGTGTGGACACGGAAAGACAGGGCCGACGGCGAAAGCGAGCTGCAAGCACTTTAGGGAGCCTGTCTTCTCCACGGATCTGAACCCCCGCGACGCGCGAGCAGGGCAACGCCAATCTGATGGTGCGAGACACTGAAGATGGCGGCATATGGTCTAACATTCCTGGTCCTCTGATTGTGCAGAGGAAGTGTACTGCTTCGGGATACAGATGGCACTCTGTAAGTTATCTTGCTTGCTCATGTACGTGAGGACCCAATCTCTCGGAACAGGGCAAAGCGTGGAATGCATCAATGGTGACTGGGCCGGTTTCATGGGGACGCGCCAGTGGGAGTGGGCGGCGCGCCTGCGTCCGTGAAATTTAATGATTCGCAATTCATAGCGCCGGATGTTGATGGGGCCTGCGATCCCGAAGCTTCCGTCGGCGGACCATAGGGGCGAACGCGACTACGACCGCGGATGCGCAGATGGCGTCCCGGGATTGGCATTATTACGTTCGTCTGATATCAATATCGGCTTTTCCACCAGACGAACGGACAGAGCGTTAGGGACGGGTGGCATGGCTTTGTTTGATGCGACTCCCAGAGATATGTTGTAGACAAGTATCTGGTCACCAACTGGCAAAAAGTCAAAAGTTAGCAAGTTGTTGACAGCCAGCCCCCATGCTGGGCGGATAGGAAATGATGCATAATGACAGCAAGACATGATGGAAAGACGTGGTTCGAGAAACCTGCTGACTGGGTTGGTATTATTTGGTTGGCTGTCCGGGGAAAGGGGGTGGTGTCCCCCTGGCGAGGGTTTGGAGTGGTGGACGAAGAGAATGGAAGAAGTAGAAGCTTTGGATGGGGCCACCTCGCTCACAATACACGTACTGACTGGACACTTTCTGTGTGTGGTGATGGCCCTATGAGCCACGCTGGCAGTGGCATGCACCCCCTCAGTCCCAGGTGCTGGTCGGTGGCAGTCTGCCTTGCCCGTTTTAGGGGTTAGCGCCCCCAACTGAAGGTCCTAGCGAGAAGAGCTTGGCAGGGAACAGGGGGCCGTTGCAGCGGACTCGGGAGCGCACACTCTCCAAAAGTCGGGCTCGGTTTTCTTTTCTTTTGATTTCTGCCAGCCAGCAACGACATCGCGGACTCGTGCGTGACGCTTCGCTTCACCGTGGAACGGGAGGGTTGTGTATGTTGGGAGCTGGGTTGGCGATCCCTGTACCTGAAGTGTGCCGTGGAATAAGCATTCTATTCTCCCAGACGTGGCAGGAAGGTACCTCCTTATTCGTACGGATACCGGTACCTGCCTTACACCGGGTAAGAAGGTACGAATACATACAGTCGGGAAAAGGGAAGGAACAAACACACGACGGGAGCTGCCAGTTGCAACTGCCCACAACCTGGGAGGAAATGACAATCGCCCACCCGCCTTACCTCCCTGGTCCTTAGACTCTCCCATCATTGGAGCTCCCAACCTTGACACCTCCCTCCTGCAGTCCTTTCATCCATCCATCCCTCCTCCTCTCCTCTCCCGTCACCTCACTTACCAAGTTACCAACTACCTGCCATGCCTAGGTACCTAAGGTAGGTAGGTACGTAGCACTCAGCAGACCTCACTCCGTGAGATAGTCACACCCTGAGCTCACATCTCATCTCACCAGGCTCCTCTGGTGGGAACTTGCAAAGGCAAGAAATCAAACAACAAATGCCCCAAGCACCAAACAGAAGCAAGAGCAGCCTCAGCAGGGGCCATGTGCCCGCTAAAGTAGTCTCAGAGATTGCGGATACACCCTCATATGGATAGTTCTGGGCCTATTGCTCGGGAACTGCTCCTTACGCTGCTTACAAAATACACGTACCGACCAGGTTGTAAGAGCAAGGTTATCTCTTCTCCCTTCTCCATAACCCTGCAAAGTCCCCTCCAAGGTCCAAAAGAGCTGCGGTGCGGGTGCGGGTGCGCTTGCGGGCTGACAGAGCGTGGGAGCGACACTCAGTCACTTTCTCGACCCGAGTCCGCGCAAAAAATATCCTGACCATCACCCTACCTGACCTTACCTGACCTTGGACTTATTTACCTGGCCTTGCCTTGCTTTAGTCGCACCTCGACCTGCGCACCTCTTTTCTTTTCCCTTTGCTTTTCTCCCACCACCCTCACCGGGCCTCACCTTGCAAATGATAATATTTTCCCTTCTCTGTGACCATCCTTCTTCTTGCCATTACCTTACTTTAACCCCCACCTCTCCCTCCTTGACCTCTGCTGCGCCTGGCAAACCATCGCATACCTGGCTCCTGTAGATGCGCCTCTCCTTCTGATGATGCGACGTTGCGACATACCCTCCTTTTCGCAACGAACCTCCCGCCGGCCTGGCTCCGCCTAATACTCGACACCTGGCTACTTTCAGCCTTCGATCACGAACCGATGCCCGAGCTACGCGCAGCAACTACCACCAGATAATAATCGAGAGCACCTGGAGTCATGTGGCGGAGAGCGTACCTATTTCTGGTGCTGGTCAGGCTGTGGTTCGCCCTGTCGCCCAGCTACCTGCACCCCGACGAGAATTTCCAGGGCCCAGAGGTCATCGCAGGTACGTTTAGCTTTTTTTTTGCAGCTGCTGCATCCCGTTGCCTGGGTAGAGCGTGCCCAGCTCTCGGTTTGGCGCCATGGAGCTTCCTCCATCATAGCTCGGATCGAGTTTAGGCGCTCGTTCTCGTTCAACAGGACCTAAACTAACGGCGTGGCGCAGGCCAAATCTTTAGTTACCCGGTACGGCACACATGGGAATTCACGAATGAGCACCCGATACGAAGCGTCTTCCCCTTATGGCCCGTCTACGGCCTGCCCATGATGTTGCTGAGATGGCTGTGGATCGGTAACGGCAAGGACGGCGAGATCCCCCCAATCGCAGTCTTTTGGACCCTTCGCGTCCTCATGTTCGTCACCAGCTTCGTGCTGGAGGATTGGGCCATTCATGAGCTCATCAGCTCTCCACGACACCGTCGCGTTGCTGTGCTCCTGGTCGCCTCGTCCTATGTCACATGGACGTACCAGACGCACACATTCTCCAACTCGGTGGAGTGTCTCGTTGTTGCTTGGTGCTTGGTCTTGATTCAGCGCATTGTCGAGAGCCCGGTAAGGACCCCCTTGGCACGATTTTGTGGGCACCAACATGTGAAAGCTAACTAACGATTGTGACAGCAACAATCATCGCTTCTTGCTTCTACAATTCTCGGCATAGTGGCCGTCTTTGGATTGTTTAATAGAATTACTTTCCCGGCGTTCTTGTTGATTCCGGGACTTCGCTTGATACCCCATTTTCTCAATAGGTACGTCCGCCTAGGCACCATGACATCAGGGGACCGCCCACTAACAACCCACCAGACCCATGTCCTTCGCCGTGATGGTGTTGGCAGCTTTTACAACTACCTTGGTCGCCATCACCCTGGATACGGCATTCTACCTCCCTGAACCCATCAAGTGGGCAGACCTCATCTCACGGCCAGTCATCACGCCACTCAACAACCTCATGTACAACATCGACACAGACAACCTTGCGCAGCATGGGTTGCACCCCTGGTACCAGCACCTACTGGTCAACATTCCCATGCTGATCGGCCCAGCTGCGATGTTGCTCTTCACTCAGCCATACCTCTCATTACGACTCTACTCGGCCATCTCTGGTGTCTTTGTGCTGTCTATCTTCCAGCACCAGGAAGCACGATTCCTGCTGCCCACCGTCCCGCTCATCCTCTCATCAGTGCACCTTCCGAAGAATCGGACTGTCGTTCGCGTGTGGATCGGGGTGTGGCTTGCTTTCAACTTGATCTTTGGCATTCTCATGGGTGTCTACCATCAAGGCGGTATCGTGCCGGGCCAGGTATTCCTGAGCAAGCAGCCAGACGCGACGCAGGCCGTCTGGTGGAAGACCTATACGCCACCCATTTGGCTTCTTAACGGCAAGAATGAGGTCCTCACGACACGCGACGTGATGGGTATGAAGGGCGACACGCTCCTCGAGGAGCTGACCAAGTTGGCTACCTGCGACACGCCGGCGGATCGACGCAACTCGGAGTATTTGAAGGAGAAGAACGGGACATATCTGATCGCACCAGCATCAGCGACGTGGATAGACCCCTACCTTCCCAACAAGGGACTGAAAGGCCTACGATTCCGCGAGGTATGGCGTTACAGGCAACACTTGAACTTAGACGACCTCGACTTTGGTGACGACGGCATCTGGAACACCCTGACGAGGGTGATTGGCAGACGTGGCCTCGTCGCCTGGCGTGTGACGAAGAGTTGCAAGTGAGGGCGGGTTGTGGAGGAGACTCAAAAGCAATGAATGAAAAGATTTGAACGTTTTGATGATTGAAGAGTATTCGATCCTTCGAAAGCAAATGGTATCGTGACTATGTGATGTGGTCCTTTCTTTGTCCCTGTTTGTGACTAACACCCATAAATATCTCGAGCGCCGTACCGATGGCGCCAATTTTGATTTCATTACACAAGGCCTCTTTTTTTTGGTGAGACCCTTTACATTCGTTAGGGAGCTCCCCCAGTTCCGATTCCATCCCATCATTTGTCTGCGAACAGCCTACAGCGCATACCAAGCGCTTCGTTAGACGCCAGACCTCGTCGAGTTCGCCGGCATTCATCCAGGAATATGCCGGGGGACCACCTGGCCCACATGGATCCGTCTGTGTCGTCTTTCGAGAAGGGTCAGGCACGATGGCGATGTGCCGTAACCCCCTACTATCATCGAGACGCAGCTAGACGGACGAGAACAAGTGGACCAAACTCCTTGCCGAGCAATAGTCCTCACGCCGCCACGCTCGTCTTATTCACATCCACAGCGAAATACCAGTTCCCCGAGACGTTCATCGTCCCCAGCTTGCTCTTCATCCAGCAGACGTGGTTGCCGTAGTAATCGCCCCAGCCGGCCCCGACGCAGTCGTCGCCCTTTGACGCGCAGAGGTCGATGCAGGCGGCCATGGTGGTTGCGTTCTCCGAGGTGAGGTCGGTGGCGCCGTCGGCCGAGTTGAAGTCGTGGCCGCATATCATGCGGAATGTGCGTTTGGGGGCGTCGGGGGAGCTGTAGGTTACGTTGTCTGCGGCGGGGCAGGTGATTGTTGCGTTTGCGGTTGACGTTGCTGGTGTTGTTGTTGAGTTGCTGGTTTGAGGTGTTAGTTTGGTGACACTTCTGGGTACGTGGTTTTTATTTGAGTGATATGGGATGAGATGAAAAGGGGATGATTTGTGAAGAGACAAATGTGTGAACGTACCCTGACGAAGACTTTTTCTCGCTCTTCTTCATCGCCAACCCTACCCCAAGACCGACGGCGATGGCGGCCACGACGAGGACGATAGCGACCCCCATGACGACGTAGCACACCTTCCTGCGCATCCCACACACCGTGGCCTTCTTGCCCTTCCCGGAGCCATCCCCGTCGAGAGATCCGGACCCGTACCCCGGCGACCCGGGCGGCGGCTTGTGATACCCAGGCGGATGCTGCTGGCCCGCGGCGGCATAGTAATACGGCGCGGCGGAGGCGACGGACGGCGAGGACGAAACCTCGAGGTTGGGGTTCTGCTTGTGGTAGTGGTGCCACGATAACGGGTCGTCCGCGACCTCGGGGAAGGTTGTGGTCTTGGCTTCCGAGTGGTTGTATGGGGATACCTCGGGCAGGTGGATGTCGTTGTTTGTGCGGTTCCAGGCGTTAGGCTCGGCTACTTCGAGGCCGGATTCGTAGACCTGCTGGTTCTGGTACTGTGGGTTTGACGTTGCGGCGGGTGATGAGGTTGCGGTTGCGTTTGTGTTGTTTGTTGGGGCCGTCATTTTGAGAAACTTCTCGGATGCCCTTGGCCTTGGGCCCTCCATGGCCGATTTCCCCTTCTCCTCGAGAGAGAGGAGACTATTATGTGGGTTTTTGTTGTTCTGTGTCCCTCAGACTCTCTCTGTCTCCTCTTAGCTCCGTCCAGGCTCCAGCTTACTGCGCCTCCTTCTGCGTGCGAGATTCCCTCGCTATTTTTTGCAAAATGTCTGCCTGAATCCCTCAGTCCGAGAGGTGCGTTCTCTTGGACGTCAAAGTGAAGGAACTTTGGTGAAACAAAACCCCATAGCTTGTTGTAAGTGATGTGCGTTCGCCAAGAGATATTCCCGTATGCTGCGAATAGGTTAGAACCCCCCTTTTGTTTGCGGAGAAGACAACCGAGTCCAGCCAAGTGCGTGAGCCAGGGTATGTATTGTAGGACGGAAGTGTGGAAAGAAAGCGAAGAATGGAGATGGGAAAATAAGCAGGAAGAGCGAAAGGGGAGAAGCGTGAAGGGAAGAACGGGAGAGGGCTGCCGGCATACAAATTAAAACCCCAGGAGGAAGGCCAGAACAATGGAGGTAAGCACTGTAAGCAAGACCAAAAAAAGCAAAAAACGGGCTGGCGAGGAACTAACTACCTTACAGGCTATGGTCCACAGTCCCGCTACTGGACTGAATCCCCCCCCCCCCCCTGCCCGGGGAGCAAGCTTATAGTTTAATACGACGAGTTTGGCGCGGTTTCTCTCTCCTCTCAGCCCCGGTGGTTTGTGCCTTATTCGGGATAGCTTGGCAAATCGGCTGGCCTGCTTCCCGGTCCTCCTTGTATGTATCCGTTCGGGCTGAGGAGGGGTGGGATTTCTCATGCAGGCGGTGGGATGTGTGATCGATGAAGAACGGGGTATGATCTACGGTCGATACGCGCTGTACGGGTATCTTTGACGAGAGAGGAAGAATCAAGGCTGACCCTGATTCCTGACCCTCGAACGTGCAGTGAAGCTGAAAGTTTGTCACTTTCCCTCCCACTCGGTGCTCAGTTCTCGCGTGTACTGTGTATGGCCTACTGCCGAGCTGGTGGGACGGGTAACTGAGTCGACCGAGTTGACCGGATCATGTCAGCGCGCGTAGGAAGGAGTTTCGCGCTTGCTAGTCACCCACTTAGTTTCTCACTGTCTCACTTAGCACTTTCTTCGTGCTCATTTATTATTGCCTGCCGCTACGGTCAAGCTGCTTTTTACCTTTTACCTCACAAGGCGTTTCCTCGCCCACGGGCCTCCCCTTTTTCAGCCCCGTTCGTCAGCCACCAACAACGGGCCTAACGACTCCCGGGAAAGCGCGCGTTGAGCGTGGAGAGACAGAGCCAACAACAGGGCACACAGGGCACACAGGGCTACCAGCGCGGGGGAAGAAGGAAGCTTGGCAGGCGTTTGGAGGTTCGAGAAGAGACGCCTTCCTTTCGATGAGGTCCCCTTATCTTTCAGGACAGGATGAAGCAGAAGACGAAGGCATAATAGTCGTCCCCGAATCCCCGTCTTTGGACGTATCGATCCTCCAGCGATCCGCATCTCATTTGCGGCAAGATTTGAAGGCCGGTGGGCAGCGTAACGTCGTCTCAACGGTGGGGAACTGTTGCATTGCAGACAAAGTGGTTTTGAAGAGAAAAGGCTGGGCCAAATCATGTCGCAGAAAAAACGTATGAAATGTTATAGCAAGAGAAAAAAGACGATCCTACGTGCCTCCCAACCCTCTCAAATGTGCATTATCCAAGGGAATCCCTTCATGGAAGCGAGCCAGCCAATTGGACGTCTCGACTGTGCTAGTTATACGGGCGAGAGTGCGATGCGGTTGGCTTGGCGAACGAGCTTGAACTTTTGGGCGAGGAACCTCCCCCTGTAAGTTGCAGGTCAGCGTTCCATCGCAGGGGGTTTGATGGAGGGGAGAGAGTCTGGAAGAGGGCGAAAGGCGAGATGGGTCGGGAGTTCTGGACCCTCTCTCTTCTCGTAGCGCTCGATTCGGTCAATTGTTCGAGCTTGATCGCCGGGCTGTGCCTCCCGTCCGCGTTTCCACCAGACTGGCTGCGGTACGGGATACAATGGGGGAGCTCAAATATCGCTCATGATGTAATATAGCCGGGGATGGCGGGCTTCTCAAAGAATCCAGTTGGGGACCGCCCGTGGAATCTTGTAAACATATTTGGGAGTCCTGATTCCTTGCGTTGTGATAAGCATCACAAGGCAGTTCCCGGAATATCGTCTCATTGACTGTCGTCCATCCGAAATTTGTGCCTAGCGATGAGTAATAATTCGGGGTAAGTAAAACTCAAGACGGGCTGATGAGATGAGCAAATGGTCTGTCAGCCCTTGCAAAGTTTATGTATAGTGAAGGTAGATATGACCTTGGAACGTGTCAAGTCTCTCACTTACGCACCCTTGAACTGGAAGAAGAAAAAAACATCAAGCACAACTACGCGGGCGGAGGTAGTGTGCAAAGGTTATGCTTCTTGTTCAGTATATTCGTACGTTCGGTCTTCTCTGCCACCAGCCAAAGAATGTCTTCAATTCACTCTCTTTGAAACACGTCGATCAAGTACTCATTGTACTCTTGCATTCCGGTCCAGAGCTGGAAGAAATGGTTTCGTGTATCTTGACAAGGATTGAAGATAACACACCGTTCTTACCATTGTATCTGCACACAATGCAGCTGGTCTCACTCGGGTGGGTCCCCGAGTTAATGGTGTCCCTCGCCCAGACCCGGCGCCGCGATGGGGCCGTCGTATCGGTGTCGGCTCATCATGGGGCGAGGTCGAGCGCTTCCCAGGGCAGACATCCCGACGTGGAGGTTCGGGCAGTCAAAGTTCAAACACGGTGGTTGCGGCACGGAGCGTCGCCGAGAGCCAGATTCCGCGCCAACTCTATGTACTCGTGGATAAATACCACAGTCGGCGAGCTCTCATCCCACGCAACGCCCATCTCGAACTGCCCGTGACCACGCCTTCCCCCCGCATTGCATCGACCTGGGCTACCCAACGTCCAACGACCACCTTGACTCTTCGTTTGGAAAAGTAATACGGACAGATCAGTCTGGCCAATCAAACGTTTACCTTTCAGTTAAGTCTGACGACTAGCCAGACCAAGGATGGAGGAGCAACCACAAGCACAAGATCTCAGTGGGCTATCACCAAACTTCCGCAGCGCGTTGCAAGATCTCACCCACGAATGGGGCTTCGTCGTCGTCCGCACCGCTTACGCCGCCGATGATGACGAAGCGCAATGGGCCGTCGCGTTGGAGAAACTGCGAGCCTACGCCGCCCCGGCCGACGACCACCGCGCCGAGACGGCCCCGGATACCTTTGCACTGCCCGTCATAGCCAACTACAGCGTCTTGAGCGGCGCCGATTACGCCTCCGTGCGCAAAGCTTTCAATGGGTGGGTTGACAATTTCGTTCGCCGCAAGAGGTCGTCGAACGACGACGATGATGATAATGATGATGACGACGACGACGACGAGGATGAACAGTGGCCGTCCGACGTTCGCCGCGACGTCTTCATTGTCATCGACGAGCCAGCGCTCACTTCGCTTCTCAATGCGCCAGTCTTCACCTTCGGCAAGGCCCCAAACCTCGACCTGGAGCCATGGGTCGTCGCAGTCGACGCCAAGGACTCGGCGAGCGTGCCGTACGGTGGGGGAGGGCCGTACATGGGCTTCACGAGGTCTCGCGCCCGCGTTCTGGGCCAGCTGTGGGAGGACCTCGGCGCGCGGTCTTTGGCGCGATTGACTCCCGTTCGAGAGTACGACGGCCAGATCCCGCTCTATGACGGTTCTTCGCGGGGTAAGCTCGTCGATCCTGCTGGCGGGCTGGAGTGGCGGTTCAAGTTCCCACGGGGCACGCCGCGAGGAGCGTACGGCGCAAGGGCCATGGTAGAATGATTGAGCGAGCTGTGGGCAGAGCGGATGGTTCAGGGAGTTAAATTTTGTCACCATGGGAAGGGGGGGGGGGGGGGGGGGGGGGGGGGGGGGGGGGGGGGGGGGGGGGGGGTGGGGGGGGGGGGGGGTGGGGGGGGGGGGGGGGGGGGGGGGGGGGGGGGGGGGGGGGGGGGGGGGGGGGGGGGGGGGGGGGGGGGGGGGGGGCTGCTGAGGGCTGGATCAAGACGCTTTGCGACGCAGAGACCGAAACCATCGTTGCGTTCATCGTTCTCAATCTGTTAAATCATACGGAGATTGGCAAGTGGTATGTTCCATCGGGATAGCGGGTACGGCTCAAGAGTGCCAAACTTCAGTGTTATTGGAGAAGTACGACGATATTGGCCAGTGGAGCAACAGATCTTTGACGGCCAGTTGATCTGTCAAGCAGCTAGGCCATCTCACAAGGTTTCTCTGCCATCTGACTATCCTCTCGGAAGCATGCAACGACTATTTTGAGTTTGAGATACCGCCTTCGACCCTTCCGGGGCCCTTTCAAATTTGCTGTACTGAAGAGCATTGAAGCAACTACCAGCGCCTTGACGGGCGATGACAGGTGACTACAAGACATACTTCCCTCGACTTTGAAAAGCCGCGTACTTTGGCAAGAAATAGTTGACATTGACGCTTCCGAGAGGAGGGACAGGGTCCAGTGCTGGGAGAGTTCCTTGTCGTGTCCCACATGTCAACGCCATACATGACAAGTGTGTGAATTGGTCTTTAGGAGCCATCTGTAGACGATGAACGAGCAAAAAAGGACCTCAGGACAAGGTGTCAGCGGACATACGGGCTCGGTATTTCTTTCATCGAGCTCTAGTAGAACGGGGGCATGTGATTCCATACTAAAAGCTGTAAATTCTGCCAAATTATACATAGGGGAAAAAAGCCCTCAACTCTTCAACTTCTCTAGCAGAGTCTGAGAGAGTCTCGGAGGGTGAAATTGCAAGCAGCCCTGCTCAATCATACCTCGCCCGTTCATCGACCTGGTCGCAAGAACAAGGTAAACATGGCCAAGAGAAAAACAGTTGGCATTCTCGCGTAGAAAATGTCTACGATTAATGCGGTAACATGAGGGGTAATCTCACCCAAGCCCTTCTTTTCAAAGACCCTGGCCAGTCGCCAGGTCCAAGTAGCAGTGGTCAGGAGCAAATTGCCCCACAGCCATGGTCCTCCCTAGGTAATGAGAGGTCAGTCGTTTCCATTCAGATCTGGGATGGAGGAAGGAGAAAATGGTCTCACCACTGATTGGAATGGTAAACATAGCAGAAGCCCAACGAAGAAGAGCAGGATCTTGACCATGCCATCTGAAGCAAGGTCTTGCGATGCAATGCGTACGTCTCCCGCTCCTGGTAGTCCCAAGACATGGTACTGCTTCATAATCGAGATTGATATTTGGATCCCGACGACTCCCAACGCCATCATCCAACCGAGGGCGTGAGAGCCTTGACGTAAGACGAACCAGAAGCTTCGTACTTGCTGCCTTTCTCCGGGCTGACCCCAGAATAGAAGGCCGAGTTCTCCAACAAGGAACAAACCGCCTGCATGTACCAGTGAGAGGAAGAATCCATCAATGGACTCGAGGTATCCATAGGCGTTATAGTATGGGTTTGGAACGTCACACTTCTGTCGAGCTATCCAAAGAATTGAGCAGGCCTTGCCGATGGACACTGCAAAATCGCTGAGAAACCCAAGATGTGAGCTTCCGATCCATGACTTTCTATTTGGACACCCCAGCCCATGTTTGACATGGCAATAAAACTACCAATTACTCACATGACTAGAAGACGTTCGAGCGCCCAGAGCATTCGTCTTGCTTGTCTGATGTTCTTTTTCCTCTTCCCTATCTCCGCCCAAGAGATGTTGAATAGCTTGAAAGCGGAAACTGAGAGTAGAATGAAGTTCATTGTGATTGTCAAAAGTGAAATTCTTTGATAGTGATGCCATAGTTGGGAGTTCCCAGCAGCCAGCGAGGCAACTTTTCCGGCGGCGCATAGTAACGCTGCGTCGGCATCGGAGCTGATAGGCGGATTTGACTTGTTCATGCTCACAGTCTTATGGGTCTTTCGTATGGTCTGCTCATTTCAATTGTTAAAAGAAAAGGTAATGCTCCTTAGGTAGTTGTATGCTCTGGCCCCTGCGGCCATTTACAAGGGTTTTGGCAGTTGACGTCACCTCGCAGTGCCAATGATGACTTGCATCCTGAAGCCTGCGAACAATGTCACTCTCGTAAAACCCAATTGTGGTTAAGCATGCAAAGTTCTAAGCGACATTTTCGTGCCTGCGGGACGTGGCCTTCACGTATTGGGTGCGGCGTCTCGAGGACAGGACGACCTTGCCTCACGTGATGGCATAGAAAGGAATGTCGTCAAAAAACCGTCCTGAACAAAACTAACCAAGCCTTTGTTTCAACCGAGCTTGGTCTTGGCGCTTTAGCCAAGTGACGCAGACATGCTTAACTACTTTGTTAGCTAACCTCATAACGGACTATGAAGAAGGCCATTGGTTAGGTGCCGGCTCGGTAACAGATTCGGGGTTGTAATCGGAACTCAAATCGTTGATAGACGTACTCTATAGCTCTGAGTTTTGCCTAGAACTATACTCTATTATCTCATCTATAGAATACTCTTCATAGGATACCAGACTAAGTATAAGGAGGCACTCAAGCCCCACCACCATATCATACTGTCACCAAAGGAATTCCGGGCAGGTCGAGACGCTGCTGTGTTAACCTAATAGACTACACACTCAACGTAAAGAAGGGAAAAGCAGAACAGTGGGCAGAAGCTGGAGCGCTGGCCCTTTGGACCGAAGCAGATCGGAAGTTTTGTTTTGCCCTCAAGGCGAGAAAACGCAGGTTTATTATATAATTGAAGCTGCCAGTCGAATCCCTACCTTATGCTGAGGAGATACGACGGGAAGGTAACTATACCAATGTACATAGAAACCATGTATATCACAGAACAATAAGCTGAATCGAAGTCATGAGATACTTCAAAAGAAAGAAGCCCTCATTCAACCTGCTTCCACATCTTCTCCAGCATACCAACTCTCGCAATGGCCGCTGGTCCCGCCGCCGCAGCTCCAACCTGCTGCATCTGCTGATCCGCCATGGCCGCCTGCGCCAACTGGGCATTTCCATATCCATAACCAACGTAGTTGAAATTGGTAGAGTTCAGGTTTCCTGCTGCACTAAATGTAACTGCTGCCAAACCCAGTGTTTGCGCTTGGCTAAGAGCGTGTTTGGCATTTTGTAGCATTCTATTCATCTCAGGGACGGTTTGGAGATAGATCTGGCGTCGTTGTCGTGCAAAGGCGAGAAAAGAGGCTAGCTGTTGCGTTTGACAGGCTTCTTTGTAGAGTTGGCGCATGCGAGGGGAGTAGAGGTCGCAGAGTCGCGATTCAACGACGTGATCTCCTTTCATGACGAAATGCTTCTCCAGAGTGGTTTTCTTGGCCACGAGGATATAACATTCCTCACAGATGTGCAGATCGTCCCATCCCCACCATCTCCGATTCTTAGCGAGATCCCGATCTATCTTGGGACAGTTTGGTGCTGCACTCAGGTCCGTCACCAAGTTGCTAAGTGGTCGATGGTCGTTGATATAAGCTGATTCGGCAAACTTTTGTATCAAAGGCATCGCTCGTGGATAAGAAAAGACATTGAACGAGCAAAGCCGAGTTTCATTGGCCGGGACGTGCTTGGGCTTAAAGAGATGGGCCATACGCATACTCGCGATTGTTCCCGCCATGCAGGCTCCGCAAATGTCGAAGTCGGGAGGATTGTCTTGCAGCGTGTACCAAGCAATACCACTTGCGCCATGCGGATCACAAGGCTTTTGCTGAGAAAGAGATTGCATCACATACCAGAACATGTTAAACTCGCCGTAACTAACTGCTCGTCCTACGGGGATAAGAACGTTGACCTGGCCCATTGCGCACGTCGTGAGCTGTGTAGTGCCCAAGCGAGTTGCTTGAAATGATTGACCCTCTGGGGAATCATGGAAGTAATCCCAGTAGCATGCCTCGCAAACTAAGAAGCCTGAGGGGACGCGGGAGGACCAGAACCAGGTCCTATCTGGTGCAGAGACGGCCTGGGCTCTTGGACACAGTTGTATCTGCAACCTCTTGGAGAATGCGTTGGTAAAAGCGATCCAGTTACCGCTTGCTGAATGAATTTTGAGCATGCGGCGTATATACCAGAGATTATGGTCGCAATTTGCTTCACCTGGAGGTGAATGTATGCTAAACTTGTTCCCGAAGGAAGTATGCTTGAAATGGTCTTCGTAACAAGGCTTACAGATTGCCAGTCCAGAGTCTGGTCGATCCGTGGGATAATACCATTCTCTACCTTCGAGAGACTTGTCTTCCGGACAGAAGCCAAGCTTGGGTCGAGTGGCCATGAAGTTCAACATGCCATCAAGACTCAGGTTTGCTAAAGCAATCGGCCAGAGATTTTCTTTGACGCGAGGGTTCCCAAAGAAACATTGTCTCCCTACGCTGTCTTCATGCCAAACTGGGTTGAAGACGTCATGGAAAGGTGAGTTGAGAATGTGATCGTGGTAGCAACGATTGCAGATGATGAAATTCGGATAGGCGGGGTGGATGAACCAGTAGAGGGGTAGAGTGAAGGGCATGTCAATGCATTCTGTCACGGGCTGGATTCCTAATGGCATGGGAGTGCAGGCTGCCATATCCGAGTGACCTGGATTGGGGCGATTGTCGGCTTGCCTATTCATTGGTATGTTTGGAACAGGTAATTCCTCAGGAGACTGTCGATTCTGATAAGAGTATGGTTGATTTTGATGATGGCGTGGTTGCTGTTGCTGGTATTGCACTGGTTGAGGCGACGCTGTTGGATGCGATCCTGCGAGTTCCGCAGGTCGTGGGGGTGGAGACGGAGGTTGGGGATATCCCTGGTAGCCTTGTTGGGGAGTTGGATACACTAGATAATTGGGACTCTGTTGGTATTGCGGCTGATAGTGCCCGGTGGATTGTTGTTGCTGCTGCTGTTGGGGCTGTTGAAAGTCCTTGTCAACTTGTTTTACTATCTTCTCCGCTCCAGCGAGAAGTTTCAAAAGTCGACCCATTGCAGAATTCGAGGCTTGCTGCAGTTTGAGTATATTCCCTTGAGCGAAGTAGTTCTGACTCACGGTGAGGCCAGCTAATCAGCTGAACACTTATAGTCTTATACGCCCTTCCGTGCCCCACTGGTGTCGTTTCGTGCCGATATTGCCGGTCAAAGAATGTCTTGCTTTCCTTATTTAGGACTGGACTAACTCATTTCGACTGACAGGTATCGCTCGGAACAAGTTTATTGGAGCGGGACTGATTAGAAACTATTTATGCAAGCCTCGTGGGTGTGATCTACGTTCACAATGCGTGATTTATCTTAATCACAGCCTCGACGTGAGATGAGCGGCAAGGAATCAGGCGATGAGTTGGGATCGTTTTTTTTTTAGGGGGAAAAAAAATCTCAAATCTATTCTAACCTCCTTTCCTCATCTACCTAGATTGGAATGCTTTTGGGGTTTGAATTCATCACCATCGCTCCTCATGAATGAGCGGAATGCAGTTGGCAACTCTCGCGATCAATAAATATAATACAGAAGATTTACGACCTTTCAACCAAGTAAGCTCACACCGGCCTGTTGATCAAATTGGTTTCCCCTCGTGGCGCTTTGGTCCTTTGTTTGGAGCAACTCGTTGTTGAACCGACGCAGATAAGATTCTTTAGTAGATGCCTGGGATGAACCGCGCTGTAACTCGATTCCACGCAACCCATTTGTCTCCAAACGTCTTCTTGAGCATCTCTTCTTCATCTTTAACCCTCATCATAAGTCTTCGTAGGATTCCAAATGTAAAGACCGAACAACAAATGAGTCCCCATCCACTCAACGCGGACTGCAGGGCGCGAGGAACTAAGCATCCAACCACACCGTCCCAGCGCAGAAACATGGAGAGATTGATGACCATGACAACGATTTGTCCTGTATATCCGGGATGTTGCATGTATCGATACATACCATCCGTGGTCAAAGTGTCGGGGGGTCCAAGCTTGAAGGTGAAGTTGCTTCCGAGTTGAGCAAAGGCTGTAAGTCGCAGGGGACCTCCAATACAGATAATAAGAAACAAGCAGACCGAAGTGTAAGGGTTCCAAGTGAAAAGTCCGTTGTTCAAGTTCTCAGGGTGCAGGCATACGAGACTGTTGTTGTCGCTGTACCCAAGCACGACAAGTGCATGGAAGATGCCAATACTGACAGCCAGCATCCGACGAATTCGCGCTGCAACTGGGCTAGCATAGGTTCCGAGACTATCTTTGTTCCAACCATCGCGCGGAATTTCATTGGGAGCTTTGAAGCAGGACATGGTGATGAGGCTCGACAACAGAACCGCCCCTGCGAAAGAAACTTTTTGTAAAGAATCCATGGCGATGTAGGCGACTGTAAAGTAGGAAAGAGATTAATTCAAATAATATTGAGCTTTCTTGACTGGGTGATCAGATTTGATCGATCGTTTACTTCTGCTGGTCTTCTGGATGGTATTAGTATCGGCGGCAGGCGATAAAATCTCCTGATGTGTGATTACGCCCTGCCGCAGGGCTGTGAGTCATATCAAGAGACTATTGATCCGTTCCGACCTTGCCGGTCAAACAATGCCTGAGTTTCATTGTTTAGTCCTCGTACTAGCTCGATTCGACTGGTACGAAAGACTAGGATAGAGAGAGACTTATTGTAAACCCTGTGTACAGCCTGCTGACCTCGTATATCTCGATGTCTGTATATGCGTTATTTATTTCAATGACCAAGCCTACTCTGGGTGATCAGTGCAGAAATCACGTAAGGTAGACCCCACTGACTAAGCAGAGACGTATCTCGTGATGGCTTCAACAATCCGTGACCTCACCCCACGCCACGTGATCTTGATTATATAATCTGCAAGATCCACCCTCACTTGCACCCTTTATTTCAGAGCGAGCTTCGTGCCCATTTCCTCCTTCTAATAGATGAATGTTCTCTTTCACTTACGTCGATGCCCATATTGCGACCATACGACAGCGTACTTTCCCAAGCGTATTATGTTCATTCGCCCACCCTCAAGTCATATATACCACGGCACCACAAAATGTCAACGAACATCGATAACTCGAACGACCCTACCGTGCACCGTGTAGACAGTGCGGAGGACTTAGAACTGTGGACCCCATCTCTTGTTCGATTGCTACAATCATGTGTCAACATCGATCCCGCCTCGTCCTCCATCGGCTTTCGCGCACCTCTCTCTGAGGCGAAGGCCACAGAATATTGGCATTCACTGTCGGCTCAGCTATATGGTTCCCAACCCAACACCACACTGTTTGTCCTAGGCCGTGGTTCGAACGCCATTGGGACAATTCAACTGGTGACTCATGCTAAGGAAACGCACGCGCACAAGGTCGAGATAGGCAAATTGTTGGTCGCCGAAAGCGATAGAGGCCGTGGATTGGGCAGGAAGCTCATGAACGTGGCAGAGAGTTTTGCACAAGACAACTTGGCTAAGAATATGGTGTTGCTAGATACAGCAACAGAAAGCCCCGCGCGGGAGTTCTACTTGAAGCTTGGATACACAGAATGGGGGATCTGTCCGCAATATGCTGCAAGCGCTGATGGGCATATACACGAAAGCTCGTTTTTCTACAAATATCTTAGCATGTAAGCCTCTGAATGCGTAGGCTTTGAACTTACCTATGTTGGTATGCCCATACCCCGCTTCATCGGCGCCGGTCACTACACAATTAATGCTTAATATTGACCCACAAGACTTGAAGGGGATAAGCAGCGAGTATATGCCGGTATGTTTCCTCCAGATTTATTGTCAGTACCGGCTAGTGTGAATTAAATCGGTCCCCTTGAGATGAGCGATGGCAATGAATTGCAAGTGGCGTCATAGATGACTGGAGAGTCAAATGCTTGGTTTCCCCAGATAGTGTTATGCTTTCGTTCTCTTGAATGCATAGATGGAGATAATTTCAAGCTCTATACGAGCGAATGCGAGAGGGCTGGTTGTCATAGTGACCTCCGAGTCCCTTCTCCTTTTCTCGTCTATCAAAGATTCGCAGCCCCACCAAACACCCAAATTTCTCACGGGGAGCCACATATTGTTGCAAAAAATACTAATTAAGTAACAGAACAATAACACGGCTGGCTGAAAGAATTCCAGATCTGAGTTTACGAGCCAAGAGTAGTTGTATCAGTTTGACATCGAGATACCTCCCAGGCTACCCACAATTCACTTCTTCAACTGCTCTCCCCCTTAACTTGCCCAAGAAAGAAGACGAAACTCCCCTAAACTTAAGTATCTCGTGACATCAAAAGTGGCCGAAGCCGAGCACTCGAAAACCCTTCTCTCTTCTTACATATTGACAACCAGGCCCATTCCGCCAAGCATGACGCCGAGGGCGACAGCCGCAGTCTCCCTGGGACCAGCATTCTTGCTGTGAGTGGTAGTCGAAGTCGCCTTGGCGGATGCTGAGTTGCTCTTCGTGGCAGCGGCTTTGACGCCGCCCGTCGTCGTGCTGGCTTGGGGAGTAGTAGTGGCCTATTAGTAGTAAGGGACATGATTAGTCTACTTTTGTTCTGCTGGAAGTTCAAGGTGGATGCAGGAGATTCGAGGGGGAGTCTACCAGGGCGACTGTTGTCATGGCGAGGAGTGCGGCGAGAGAGAAACGCATGTTGGGCTAGGAAGATGGGGATGGGCTGAGGGCGTTATTTGAGGTATGGAAGGTTGACTAGATGAAGTTGTATATAGCTCTTGGCGGGCTGTATGTTTCTGGAGCTGTGAGAGCATGTAAGGGCTGATAATAATTTGAAGATAGACTTTGTTCGGGGTCTTATATAAGATGTGTAGACAAAGAGAAGTGACAATGTTTTACCGCACTCACGGGCATGGCGCAGGTTTACCAAACACAATACTAACCGCATCTAAAAATGAAACCACCAAGGCATCACGACTGTTCAGGACAATACCAAAAGGGGGCTTTACCGCCGTGCCTGGCAAATGATGAAGGCCGATCATGACGCCGTTTCTTGTCTCTCCAGGACAGGGAATCCCACCGGAAGTGTCTGCCTAAATCTGCCTGGCCGAATCGGGAAACATCTATATGTTTTTGATGTAGAATTCGACTTCCAACTAGCCAAGATGGGCCAGGGTTGTATCGATTTGGTGGAGGATATGTGTGGTAATGTGTGAAGCTTGTATGAAGCTTGTTCAAACTGCACGCAAGTTACAGAATGGTAGTTTCTTCGGGGTGGGTCACACAAGGACGATCTAGACCGACTTTGGAAGGACAGGTGAATGGAAGTCATGCCCCGAGGGGCCCGAACGAGGCGAAGCAGGCTTCGTTTCTGGCTTGCGGCTTCTCGGTTGGAATTACTTGCTTCCCTCGCCATGCGGACTCCCACATCGGCTCAAGATGCCGAACTCAGGGGGGCCCGAGGGAAGGACATGAGATGAAATGCTTAGCCTCAATGATACGAGTTGAGGCAGATGGCTTTCACAAGGGGGCGTGTTGATGGGCCGGTAGATCAAGACAACTATCAGATGACACGGCTAGCGAAGGAGAGTCGGCTTCTCACGCCTCAGGTGCTTTCTTGAAACATTTGTTTGAAAACACGTTGAACGGCGCGAGGAGCTGTATATGGCAACAAAGTGAAACGAGTTCCAGTGATGACGGTTTCCAGTTCAATGTGGTCTGGTCTCTAGACTGAGGTAATGTTTCCTCGGAGAATACTTTGTGTTAGTTGTGGTTGTTGCTCGGACTGTAGTACTACTCCGACAGGTGCCCGGGGCGGGGGCCGCGGGGGGCGCTTCGAAGCTTCTTCGTATAGCAAGGAGTTAACGAACTAGTCCCTCATGCTACCGTTTCGTAGAATGGCGTGCTGCTATATTAAGCATCGCATTCCAGGTCGGTGATTGTCACTTTCCGTCACGTTGCTAAAAGTCGTGTCCTGTTTATCATGGATGTCGTTGATGAAGAACGCTGGCTTTTGGTTGCACGACTCGTTGAGGTAGGTGGACTATGAATGCATGAGATTTGGCTTCTCAACACTGCCTCACTCTCAGCTTATGACGAACAACCGAGGGATTGTGCATCTGGAATTGAATGACCGGTTTTCAAATTGAACACAGTGTGGCGATGATGTGAAGTTGGATGGGCAGAGGCCACTATTCAAGATTCACCCCTCAACCTCTCTCGCGCTCAACTTCGCAGGGACAACGTGGGCAAGGTCCATTTGGTGTTGAGCAGGAAAAAACATCGTGGAACGGCTTGTGTGTTTCAAAGAGAGAACCAAGGACATACCGACGGAGTGAGTAGCAGACTTGCGTCCTTGAGAATGACCTTCCGTACAGCTACACTCGTAGTTCAAATACACTAAGATGGATAAGGCACGCGTATAGAATAGAGGTTTGAATTGACTTTCCCCAAACGGACAAGAGCAAGAAAAGGCGAGCGGCGCCAAAAAAATCCCCACGCCAAGCTGCTAGGATTCAGGAACAGAACCAACCGGCCGGCCGGGATCGCTCGCATCTGGCTTGTCTTGGCGGCGTTCATCCCACCCGCCAAGGGGAAAACCAGAAAGAAAAAAAAAACATAAATGGCCCAAGCTAAAGAAAGGTAAGGTAAGCAAAGCACGTGAACTTCCCGTCATCTTCGCGCCGTTGTGACCTGTGCCCACCCCCACCAACGTACCTGACCTTAACCACAGAACGCGTCACGTCTATCCGGGATCCTAGCCGCTAATCTTCACTTAAACATCACCACAGTCGCATCGCATCGCGAACTCAAGCAAGCAACGAAACCACCTCCCACCACCGCTCACCAGCCCACCCACTCTCCCCAAAATGTCCGCTCCCGACCAAGACCAGTCACAACCCCCCTCGCAATCGATAAAGGAATCATCATCACAGATCCAATCGCAAGACCACGCCGTCCAACACCGACCCGAGACCGAATCGCATCCCGGCGCCGGCGCATCGTCAACATCAACAACAACACCGGCACCAGGAGCAACCTCAGCAACGACAGCGCAAGCGTCGCAACAACCACAAGAACCATCACAGCAAGCGCAAGAAACACAACCACAACAACCGCCCGCCTCACCTCCCCTCCCCCAAAAACACACCCCCGCGACCCCCGGCCCCCGCGCGGGACGCTTCATCCAGCTCTACGACGGCGCCCTCGCCAGCACCCTCCGCAAAGTAAACTACGACAACTTCGCCTCGTGCTTCCCCACCGTTGCCGCCCACGCGCCGAATACCCTGCGCAACGTCCAGAAGCAAATGGTGGATTACCTCGAGGAGAGGTGTAACGTACGTTTTGGGTCTCATTCCCTGTTCAACCCGCATGGGAGGGGAAGATGAGAAGAAGGAGAGGAACCGCAGACTAATGATGTTTCTCACTCCTATAGAAAGACTTCCAATCGATCCTCGCCGACCGCGACGTCATCCGCAAACTAAACGAGCTAGAAAACCTCGTCAGCGACGCAGACCGCAGGAGACAAGAAGGCGGCAGCGACGTCGAAGAACCAATCCCGTACGTCACACTCCCCTTCCCCCTCTCTCCCTTCTCGGGCCTCAACACTCTGTAACACCAGACACACCCAAAATCAAACCCCAAGGACTAACACCAGTCACAACAGCCCACACGTCCTCCCCCCCGACGAAATCCTAACGGCCCACCTCGCCCCGCGCCTCGCCCCGCAGCAATCGACCCTCAACGCCCGCCTCCAAAATACCCAGGCCTCCAACGAATCCCTCTTCGCCTCCATCCAGTCTCAGCGCGCAGAGATCGATGCTCTCTTAGCCCAGCTCGAGAGCCAGGTCGCCGATATCGACGGTGCCAACGCGTTGCTCGTGGACGTTGCGCCCGAGCTGGCGGCCGAGGCGCGGGCTTCCGAGGTGGAGATGGCGGGTATGTGAGGGGTCGGACAGACTGCGATACGCGATCGAGACGAGGGTGAAGAAAAGAGGGGAAATACGTAACCGGTAAAGGCTGGATTCATGGAGATGTGGTTGTCGAATAATGTCTGAATACGGCTGTAGACATGGTTGCTCTTCCCTACGCATGAGATACCATTTTGATTTATGTAGGCCGTGGCTCGGCTGAAAACAAAGCCAAGAAACTTGCAATTGACCTAGTCCCTTTATGTTTCTTTGCCATCCTGGATCAAACGGCATTCTCACAACGGCCAAAGCTTCACGTTCATTCCGAGTCATGTTGTTAACGTTTAATACATTCAAGTCGACCAGGCTATGCCTCGACCATGACCGATGGGAAGTTTCCTTCAGGGTCCCCCATCGTTAACGAATATGTTCGGTGCCAAGGCTTTCGCGATGCCAACGCTGAATACTCCATGCTACAGAAAAAGCAAAAGGACGATAATGAAATTTGGGGCAGCGAGCATTGCCGCTGCCCTTGACAACTCCGCCCAATGATGATATGCTTGGCGCAAAGCTATGCTCTCGTTCTCTCTCTCTCACCCGCCATAAATGACAAAGGAGACTGAGAACAGGTTGAGAGGAATCGAGATGAAGTAGGAAAGGAAAAAAGGAAAGAGCCAACCGAATGCATATGCCGCGCCGTCCCGCCCGATTTTTGTTTTGGCCGCCGTACCGACCGACTGCCCAGCCTCTGGGTAATGTATGGTAAAAATCCGTATCGTCGAATCTTGCGATTCTTCCTCGTGTCAATGCGAAAGAAAGGCCCTCGTCATTGACGAGGGCACGGGGTATGTATATGTGCAATAGAAGTGAGGGAGAAACAACGATCCATCTTAAATCCTTCTGTTTTCCGTGTGGATGACTTGCCAAGGGCCGAAGAAATCAATCTCGCCGTAGGCTGGCGGCAGTACGCGCACCATGCGACCTGTTGCCCAATCCACGAACCATCGTTTTCCCTTGCTGATGATGTAGTTTGACTTTCGGGGGCTCTTGAACAGGAGAACAGAGTAGCAAAGCTTGGCATAAAGCAGATCGTGGGCCGCACTCCATTGATGCTCGGGTGCCCATTTTCCAGTGTCTGGATCGATGGCCTCGTTGGGATACGATGTTGTCGACAAGCGGCTGCTGATCAGCTCGTTCCTCCCAGGTCCGGGGCCGTAGATAGACTCGCTGTCTAGTACGTTGGTCTCGCCGCGCTCGTTGACGACGGCCTGGTGAACGAGACCCTCTATGGTCGAAGATGCTGGGAAGGGATCGGGTGCCTCGGCAGAAGCCACACGGCGGAGTTCAGGACTCAGTGGTCTTGGCGTCGGTACGGGGTAGTTGTTCGTCGGTGCTGGTGTCTGGCCACGGAACCAGCGGATGCGTTGAATGCGGGGGATGCTTTGGTCGCGGGGATAGTCACGATCGTCGATGGGAGCGGCAACATCGATGGCGGCGAAGAGAGCCTCCAACCACCTGACCATTGTGCTTAATTCTATACAGGATAGGAGGAACTGATCCTCCTCGGCCCTGACACGAATGACATATCGCCTCCTAGGTGGGAGTCAGTCTCTTGGCAGGTCTTGGCATGGAATGAGGCTGAGAATCGAGGCAACCTACTTCTTGTAATCGGCAGCAATACCAATATCGGCGTGCTGAAGACTGTACGCTCTGTCGAGAGATGCCTTTCGCACCCATGGCGGATTGTCGGGCGAGATGGTCGGTCCGTCTCTCGTCCTGCCCCATCCCCAATCCTTCTTCACGTTGTAGAAATTCAATGCAGTGCCTCGTAGTTGTACGATAGTAGTGTGCCAATTTCTGTCTTCTGCCCGTTTGGTTGTGTTTTCAATTTCCATCTTCTTCACCCATACGCCCTCCAACTCGATGTCGCACGAATAGCCTGGCAAATCCTCCCCGACTCCATGTTGGGAGTTGACCCTGGGTGCCAACGGCCGTCTTGGTCTAGCATCCCGCTCATATGGTGGCGGCTGTGATGGTCGTCGGAAAGGGGAAGTCATGACTTCCTGGTAGAAATAGTCCTCCTCCATCGATAGTCGCCGCCGGAGAGGCGGCGGCTGCGCTGCGGTATTAGATGGTCCATTTCCGCCGTCCTCGCTGCGGGGATCCATGGGGCAGATGAGGTTTTATATGACAGGAGACGAGTGAGCCGGCAACAGACGAGTCGTGTCAGGCCAGGACCACCATGCGGCGGGTGGCAGCGGAGGCAGAGGCCCGTTCCCGTGCGTCTGTCTCGGACGGATTCCCTGGAACGAGGGATTCACGAGATGTGCTTGGCCCGGGGGTTATGCTGACCCGCAAAACTTCATGGTGAGGGCCTTTTGTCGGCGGCTCTTTCTTAGGGCCGCACGGGGCAGAGTAACGTAAAACAAATGCAAAGGGGTCCTGGGACGAGACCGGTAGATGAGATGAGATCGGGGAGTGGATTAGGTCCAGTCAGGTACGAATGCGTAGGTATGGAGAAAGGACTGGAGACCTCGGTGGTGTGGATGTGTAGGTGTCGTGGTGAGAAGGTGGATGAAGGATGGAGTGATGTGCCGAGAAGCGAGAAAGCGGTGGCAATGGAGCGACGGGTCCAAGTAGTAGGCCTGGTTCCAATGACCGGGCGTAGGAATAGAATCCGGTTCCTGGAGCGAGCGAGGTGCGGTTCGAGACAAGCACGGCGAGGGAGCAAGCAAGCACAGGAAGCACAGATGGGAGGCGGAGGAGTGGTGGTTGTGGAGGAAGCAGACGAGATGGGATGGAAGGTCAAGGTTGCAACGGGCTGGCGGGAGGAGTGAAGCGAAACGGGAGGCGTCGAGTCATCGGGTGGTGCCAGCGCAAAGAAGAGCCGCTTAACAAGGTTGGACTGAATAGGAAGCCCGATGATGAAAGCAGTACAAGCCGGATATGAGGGAACCGATTCCCGTGCAGGGCCGAAGAAGAGGCGCGAGAGGTTGGAGACGATGTCCGGGACCGCGCAGCAAGGGCAGTTCGTCTGTGTTGAAGGACCAGGGCCGCAAGGGGGACTTGGCTCTGGGGGCGGATCTCATGCGCATCGGACGTCGGGTCAGGCCAGGACAGGGCTCGTTGAAGAGCGGCGGGTGGGAACGTGGTTGCGTAGCTGACAAGGACGGCGTGATATGGCGAAAGAATAGGGTAACAGAAACCAAAGGCGAGTGAAGACCATGTACGGTAATTGGTGTGTTCCTGGGTGGACCACCGCGCGACTTGTGATGATCAGAGAAGGATGGATGGACGGATGAGACCTGGTTGATGGGTGTGGAGGCGTGTGTCGAGCGGAAGTTGAACAGGACCCCAAGCAAGGTTGAGAGAAGTTCAACGGGGTACGGCGTATGTACGGGGTTCACCGTTGGTAGAGGTGAAGTTGAGGTTGCAAAGGGTACGAGTAGAACGGGTGTGTCTTTTTCCCGCTTTCTTTTCGAACTTCAAAAGGTCGAACCAAGTGCGCGCTACAATCGGTCCCTGTCGGGATTTTTGCAGGTATTGGGTGATTCGATAATGGAGAATTGGAGAGTAAAGAGGAGAGATGGAGGCTCGGATTCTGGCCGGGCGGTAGGCGTGGACGTAGTGTATCGATCAGCCAAGGTGCGATTCAATTAATGATCCGAAGGTACGTATCCAGTACCAGGACTCAATGCGATGCTGCAGCGATATCCGTACTTGGTACGCGTACCCTTGATATGTACTTCGGCGCGAGTTGGCAAATGGGCAGACTCTTTGTCGGATTGCTTGGAATGATGATTTGCAGTTTGGCGCTTCTACCGTACAGTTGTAAAGTGTGGTGTTCCATTCAGACAGAGGGTGAGCAGCACAAGCAGCAAGCAGCAGCGGCGGCTAGCAAACGGAAACGCAGGCCGTCGGCTTGAGAGGTTGAGGCAGGCGTGGCAGGTCGGCAGAGCAGGGGCAGATGAACGGGGGGGGATGAAAGCGGCAGGGTGGTCGTGAGTCCAGAATAGGGACAAGGAACCGGCCTCGAAGCAAATGGCAGGCAGGCAGGGTCGAGTAAGAATTAGGGCGAGTTCGGTGCCGATGATCGTCAAGACGAACACCCACGAGTAATTCCTGAAACCTGAGTGGTGAGTGGCCAGTGGTTCATCCGTTTGGCAAGCTGCGACCTAACAAAAGTAAGTACCTTAAGGAACACTGTGGTAGGGGCAGTGAAGGAAAAATAGAAAAGGGCCCTTTGGTGCAAATGCGTGGTGGTCCCCGTCCTGGTCAGAGTGGTGGATTGTGGAAGCAAGAACAGCGCCGAGTGGACCGAGGCCTTTTGTAGACAGGTCTAACCCGTTTGGGGAGGTGAAAGACATGCGGCGACCGGGGTGGCGCGGACTCGAGGTACTTTTTTTCCCCTTGACCTGTGCTAGACTGCTAGTAGACCACCCAGCTTTTTCATCTTTTGACCTTTTGGTGGACGGTATAATGGCAATGCTACCTCCCGTTGTGCCTAGACCCAGCAGCACGGCAGGGTATCTTTGTATTTGGAGACGAGAGGGACAGAGGCTGGGTCTCTCGTAGGTCAACATCCTCTGGCATTGTCATTTGCATTGCAACCTTGGAGATTGGCCGCCAGAGCATAGCCGGCGTTTACAGTACTGTCTGAGTCTGACAGTGTCTGCGCGGACGAGAAACAAAAGCAAATCAGAGGAGAGAAGGAAAGTAAGGCAAGAGAAAAGAACAGGTGGTCGGTGAAGACACAAAGCTCCAAACGTAATGTATCTATCTGATGCAAGGAATGGCGCCTCGTCTCCAACGTTGTAGATTGATGCCGGGCAGGCAAACAAGGACCAGACGGGAAGGAAGTTGATGACCCAAGGTACCAATGCACTTTATCGTACTAATGAAAGTACCTTACCATGGAAAGACGGGAGAGAGAGTTGCAGCGTGAGAAGGCCCGGGTGCAAAATGCTTGAATTCTACCGAATATCAACCTGCCCGCTTGAGCCTTAGCAAAGTAGCGAGGTACCTTGCTCCATATGAAGGAAGGTCTGCAAAAGTTTGAGCGTACGGCAGGTGCCTACCTTACCTGGCGAATCCCATCCTCCGTTTCACCCTTGGACGAGTTGCCGGCAAAGTATTCGTACCAAATAGAAGCCACGACGGAAGGTCAGCTGAATGGATGCCTTTTCCAATGGCACCAGTTACGGCATTACGGCACAGAAAGGCGGGGGCCCTAGCCCGGCGTGGACCCTCCCTCCGTACCTGCTTCCATTCTCGATCAGAAGTCTCCCGTCAACTCCCAAACTCCTCAAGTTCCCACCGCTTGAGTCGGGCGCGACCCGACCTTACTTTACCTTACACTAGCAGGCTAACACTAACAGCGAGACTTATTCCTTCTTTCTAGGTAGCTTAACTCTCTCTACCATGGAGCAGGCAGGTAGCATCCGTCATATTGCACCTGCGCTCATCAAGGTAAAGGCCAGGTCAGGCGTCGCAACTCGGCTTCAACTCCGGCAACAACGTCTCTCTAGCCTTCCAACAGAGGAAGGTAGGCTCTCTAGGGAGGCCCTTTGCATACGATGTCCGCGTCATTCGATAACTGGGATTCCTCGGATATAGACAGAGACGGATCTTGGTCGGCAACTGCCAGTGCCACTTGCTGACGGCTTGTGGAGCACTCGACTCTGGACTCTGGAGCTTCGTAAACCGAGTCCACCTTGGTTTAAGGTAAATTCTAAGGTAAATGTCAAGTGGATCGACGACGTGGGTGCCAGATTTCAGAACGTTACACAGTACACTTACAGTACTCCGTACGCCAGCAAACCAAACACTCCTCACTCTCAGTATCTGTATTCAGGTCGAAAACCGCACTTCGCACAATTGAACAGAACTTGGTAAGACGCTGAGACTTTGCGTACTTCCCAAAAGAATCGTCTGAACAATTACTAAAGAGGTCAATAGGATGCCTCGTACGGGGATACAAACAATGGGATGAACGGGCATGGCCGTCGACATGCCAATGCTAAAACATGCCATATCACACGAACACACACAGTACAAGCACCGATACTTTGTCCCCAACACCGCCCACCCACACACACTTTTTGTCTCGAGACCCAGGCCAACACCAAAGGCCAACACCAGGACGAAACAGGTCAGATATCCGCCACGGTGCCCGAGTCTACCCTCGTCGTCTACTGACCATCCCCCAGTCTCTCTACCGTTCTCTTTGCCCTCCGGCTGCACAATCAAGCATTTCTGCATAATCCATGTCGCCATGCTATCCCCCTAACGTTCGAATTGCCTGTCAATGTCATGGCCTCCCCTTCCATCAATTATACCTCTCTTTCCGCCGCCGCCGCCGTCACCGTTTTTGCTGGCTCGGGAATCCTTGGCTCTGCACTGCAAGTCATTATTAATGGACGTCAATGGAGGGTTAGCACCGCCTAGCATCAGAACGGGAGCGCGGCCAAGCTCGATGCACATGGCGATCCCGTCCTCAAGTGGCTTGGACTCTCGAATCGGCCGAGAGACGGTTGTCTGTGTCCGCAGCTTGAACATCGTCCGCTGAACCGGAGGCAGCCACTGGCGTGTCCTTGAACCTACAACAAAGTGACTGTACCTTACCGCCCACTATACCCGCGTATGCCCACCCGAAACATCGACGGCGGCGGGACACACCAGTGCTGTTTGCTGGCCTGGGCTTCGACAGGAAGAGTGGTGCATAAACGAAACGAGGAACGGCAAATGCCAAGAGCGGCGGCTGGCCCGAACCACCTGCCACCCTCGCGCACACACTCGCCTCTCCTCGCTTGAGCGCTTGTCCTACTGCAGTCCACGAGTGCGCAGGGCGGAGTGTCCGTTTGGATGGACGCCAATTATTGGCAAAAGTCCAAAGGATCTTTTGCGAGCGGATCCCACTCAGCCGTTCCCTTTTGCTAACACTAACTCGAACACATCCCCCGGTTTATCGCCTGTCGTTGGTCAGCCACCTGCCAGCCTACAGTACTTTCTCAAGCCAAGCATCAGCCGTGCAAGTATGGGTAGAACAAATCGAACTTTTGCAGACGCGCCTCGTATACTGTGCTGCTGCCTTTTGGAGCAGAGTTTTCGCTTCGGCCCTGGTGCCCCAATGGCGCCGTTTTTCATATTGCGATTATCATGCGCAATACGTACGCTCTGCCTCACCACAAATTACAGAACGGAGCACTCTCCGCGACATCCGGCCCATCAGCACAATCGTTGAGCCAGCCGTTGACAGTGGCAGTTTAATACCTACCCCATCCATCACGCCATGCCTGCTGGGATAGGGACCCCCTCCAGATCCCCCCGTTCCCCAGAAAACGCCCTTCGGATCCCCCCCGGCACGCCACGAAGTCAGGTTTTGACTATGGGGGCGCCAGTCGCGACTCGAACGTCGCGCCCTCCTTCTATACCAGCGTTCGATTTTTTTCCCACAGATGAACATGGTGCTTTTAGGGCCTGTCAAGCAAATGTCACGTATCACTGATGGCGGACTGGTATGGAGGTATTAGTCTGTTGCAGGCCAGGCCAATACCACCACGCAACACACGCCCCCCGAACCCGGCCGCCCGTTTCTGCTTCTAGCGGCTTCGCCCAATCTCTTGGAATTTTCTTGGAAAGCTTGAGTGGACGCCATTCCCGCACCACAGCTCACGCCCCGTCTTCCAGCTGGCTGCCGCTGAAAGCTCGCCCTGCCCTGTTTTGCTAGGCCGGCTTCGTTTGTCAACGTGAAGCAATTGTTTCGTTGTCATTGAGGAGACAGGACGTTGATTCTAACGCAAGTTTGCCCATGCCGCTCTACCTCGGAACAGGCAATATTCTAGAAACAACTCGCCGGTCACCAACACCAACGAAATGCAAACTCGAAAGACGTATTCTTTCCTAAACAAGAATCGACGACGGAAATCTCCAAATAATCTCCACTGTCTAACCGCTCTCCAGAGTGCTGATCTTTGATTATCGCCGGCAGTTCCCTATCTGCCACTTGAACATCTTCATCCTGGCTCTGTGATCATCGGTCAGCAAAACTGTTTGCATGCTGGCTAACGGACTGTTGTAACCCCTCGCAAGAACAAGCGCGAAGTCTGGCCACCTGCTCACGGATTCCCAGCCCACTCATACTTTGGGTTCCGCATGCTACCACTACAAGGATGGAAGCATTGTCCGCATGGAGACGTACAAAGCACTACTTTGAAAGTAGCGATGACAGCATGCCGCTCTGCGACCTAGAACACGCGCGCCGGAGAATAATACAACCCAACGGCAAGATTTCCCCTCTTTAGATTCTCGACGCCCGAGGAAGCTGGGGGGTTGACGGCTAAGACGGCATCTCCTGGACCATTTCTAATCGAGGTCCAGGTACCGGCCAACCACACAAAGTTGACGTGACCGCCATCTCAATCGAGAAGGTCGCAAGCAAACAGGGAGGGGGTAAAAAAGAACGGTGGGTGCAAGAGCAAAGACATCTGCAACCGCAGGGCTCGCAACATCCGAGCCGAGCTCGCCGGCAAAAGACCAACAGGAAGATGAGCATCAGCGTGGACAACCTTACCGGCTGGGAAAGCAGCACCGTTTGTCCAAGTGGGCTTTACTCCTTCATCAAGTCGGCGAGCCTGACAGCTGCTACAGCAAATCGCTACCAGTCAGTCACCTACGGAGTACTTCGTCCTCTTACTGACGTTCTGGGTTGCGAGGGGGAGATCACAAAAATCCCCAGCCTTTACCCCAGTTGGCCGGCCAAGCCCGCAAGCCAAGACTTTGAGCTGCAAGCCTCCGTACACCACTCTAAATACAGTAATCGTAGTCGCTGCCGTACCTTGATGGACAGAATAGAAATACACACGAGATCCGCTCATTATGAGAGTGCGTGCGTGGTTGGCAGCCTCCGACTTGTCGCTCACGCATGCTGCGCTTGGTTGGCAGCTCTTGGGACTCGGGAGTAAGGACATTATTACGTACATCATTCTCGCGAAAAGCAGACTTTCTCTCAGCTCTGTACGACGATTGTGGAGACGAAATTCGCATACCAACGGCCTACAGTCAGCGCTCTCCAGGGCCTTGGCGACGAGGTTCTGAACTCGAGGGGTTTCAGACAAAAGGGCACACGAACTTTTGGAAATTTCCACATTGGTTCCTTTGTCAGTCGACCCTGCACAACATGTGGTCCGATCACCAAGACAAACTTCCAGACGTGCAACCCGCGCGTCCCATACTCCTGGTGAGAGGCGGGAGGTAATTCCGAGTGCCATTTCTGAATGGAGCCCCCAAGACTTCAATAATGGGTTGGGTTGGTCTTTCTGGAGTCGCACAGGGTTCGTTTGTTTATACGACGTTGTTTTCCCCACGTTCTTTTGTAAAGAGGAAACTTTTTTTCAAGCCCGTCTAAGCGACTTGGCTAGTTCATCTGCCATTGAGCCTCGACAATCAAATCGAGATGTTTAGGAACATTAGAAAACACGAATAAGCTGAGCAGGTAGGTCTGATCCAATGACACCACAACGTGGTCTAGAGCTCTTTCGACTATCGACCGCCTTTTGCAAGCCAGGATGGCTTCT